TTCAGACTAGATTTTTTCCGAGGAAGTGATGTTTGGGATAAGAATTAAAGGACGAATTGAAAACTAGCTACATAAGGAGTGAAGGCAGAAGCATTGCAATTTGCCTGTGCAAAGGCCCAAATGCAGGAGGTGCTTCCATCCTTTATCCTTATTCTGTCTTGTTGGACCCAATCAGATAGCACTATTAGACCACATCTAGAATGGTACATCATCAAACACTTAATAAGTGTTAGTTTTATTCCATTCTTTCTACGTGCATTTTTTTAAACTGTGTTGAAGTCATTCCTTTAATCTCTTCTGTAGTCTCATCCCCTGCAAGCTAACTGTCCCTAGCGCCTTCCATAATTCTTCTGGCTCGTTCTGGAATGAAATACACCATTGAGGAAATGTTCACACATTATTTTTACAAAATTACATAATAATATCAGGTAAATAAATTTTGTGAACTGTATCTCTCTCACAAATGTTGGTGACCAATCTGATTTTTCTTCTGTGTATAAAGATCCAAGTAAAACTTATGTTATTGTTCAAAATATGCCCAGGTATAACTACTACTCAGTAATCCCATTACTCATCTAGTTATCTTTGTGGGTTTTATATCCATATTCAGTGCATATTTCTTTTAAATATAATTGAAATAAATTGAATCATAAAGCTTAATTCTTTCTTCACCTAGTTGTTGTCTCTGCATTTCCCTTTATGTAATTAAGAACTCCTCTAAACATTATTTTTAATGGTCACATCATTCCATTGCATAAGTGAACTAAGGTTTATTTGTCCATTTCTCCTTTGATAAAAATTTTCACTGTTAGTAATCATCTTAATTCATGTCTTAATCTATAGGTGTATTTGGTTTTCAGATATTTATTTAGAATCATTTCTTAGGGGTGGGTGAAATGTCATTACCATTTGTAAGGACTCTGATACTGACAGGCAAAAGTTTTTGTTGTGTCTTTTTGTAGGTGCTACCTCTTTTATAGTTACTAGTAACAGAGATTTGGACTAAAACCCAGGCTGCCTGAGTTCTAGTTCCACCCTCTTTTTGCTAGAAATTATGATAAAATAGATGGAATTTTTGTTTAAAAAAATACTTGATTCTTTTAGTCAAGTATGTTTTAAGGTCCTTCAGTCACCTCACAGGACGGAAGTGTTACAGGTCATTTAAATAACTTAACACTGGATAATTCTTTTTGTATTTTAAAACTGGACATTAAGTCCAGAGAGATGTTACATACAAGTATAAAAAGTTAAATAATGGTATGAAATGTTAAATAACCATATTAAAAGTTTTATAAAGAAATATATTTAATTTTATTCTATGCCCTTTGAGCAGTTCAGAACTTAGCCAGGCACTGCTAAGTTCTCAAAATATAAACACAAAGATGAGTGAGAGCCTACTTATTCTAATGTCTTCCCTTGAGGTTCAAACATGCTAAACAATACAGCTAATAATATTGGTAATACTTTTATGCTTCTTAAATGATTTTTATGTATCTCTTCATATGAGCTTCACAAAACAACTCTGAGAAGTAACTAGGGAAAAGGAGCTTTGGCATGTGAATATGGATCTTATTTAGTTAGTAGTAGTCATGGAATTTGAAATTGGGTCGTGATTTTCACATTTTCTCTTGGTTTCCTTATACCATTTCTACCTTCATTATCTCATTTTTTAAAAAAAAAAATGATAAGACATTGTATAAGTTTAAGGTATACAATGTGTTGATTTCATACATTTATATATTGCAGTATGACCTCCATTACCTCTAGACCCTTCAGTATCTGAACCACCAGAACAACTTACCCTTTTTCTAAAAGCACTCTGTCCTGACTTTTTCCCTCTCTTATCTGCTGTTATTCTTTATCACACTGCAGTGAGAGTATACTTGCTGTCCTTTCAGGGGAGTGAAACCTTTCTTTTTATAGTTTTGTGTTTGGGATCAAAAGTTTGGATAATGGTGATCTCCCAATCTTTGTTACACATGCTTTTGTTCTTGACTAGATCAAACTTGGGGTTTTACCTTCATTTGCTTTCCCTGATAAGCCAGGGTGGATCTTAGGTATACAGAAGGAATTTTAGAGCTATGTCCGCCCACCTCCCAAATTTTAAGAGATATCAGTTCCCATGACAGTTCATACCCCCTCCCATGAGTCTATTTACTTATCGTCTCCTCTAAACACCTGGTTAAGTGAATCATGTTTAGTTTACCATAGTTAGACTGTTGGTTTGACTTGCTCAACCATGCATATTTTCTTAAGTTTATCTCTGAAGATTTGGGACAAAAGGACAAACACTGAAAGGTCTAATAAGTTCCATGATACCTTTTTCCCTTCCTTGCCATCCTGGCTATGGGGATAAATAGTTGGGTTCTTGTGTTTTTGTTTGACCTATCTCCCTTATGCACTCGATTTCTTCCTAATACTCTGGCTAAACAACAAGAGGCTAGGGGTAGATGTTTGTTTTCCATTTCCAGCAGTAATGGCCAGAAAAATTGAATTAGGTGAAAAATTTTATTTCAGTCAAATTTAAGGTGGTTTTTCTTGAGATAGGTTTTGAAATAAAAGAATATTTTTTTCACTTTAAAGGTAATAATTATTTTTACTAGTGTACATAAAAGCCTATTACAACAAACTTATATCAGTAACATAATGAAATTAAAGTAATGAAAATTATTTTTGATTTCAGATTGCTTTTTGATCTTATACAAGTGAACCTAGTACTAAATCAGGAGTTCATAAAGTGTTCTGAAGCACAGTAACCCAGGTGGAAACAGACATGCCAGTTTTTTTAATACAGTAATTATTTTACTTTCACTGTCCATTAAATAGATTGTATGTAGCAAAAAGCTAGAGGTGAGTCCATTGTTTTAATTAAGCATCAACTGATTTTTGATAAGTTATATTCTACATCCCAATTAGAATTCTATTCTCCTCCATATTTTTATCACATTTTCTATTTCTGCTTTCAACTTGCAGGGTTAAAAATTCAATAAGATGGTAAGAGAAAAGCTAGAAATGTAGACTATTACTGAAGCCTAGGAGATTTAGTTAATCTGGCCTAGATGTTCTTTTGATGATTGAGATTTATGTGAAAGCAGTTCTCAATTTCAAAATGAAACATAGGAATATCTGCCATATAAATCAGCTGTTCTGCCAGTGACAGAGAGATTAATCAGCTACAAACAGGAAGAGTTTGACATAAAAGTTGTGCTGTTTAGAATGTTGGCATTTGGATCAGCAATAATATTGAAAGTTGTAAGTTAATGTAACCCTTGCATTATGCCATGTCTGACAGAGGATTATTGAGTATTTTTTCAAGGACTTTTTGTATGCAGTTGATGTTGGTTTCATTTTCAGTGTAATGCATGTGACACAAAACATAATGGGAGAAAATCCTTGCATAGAAATTATGTGAAAATGTAAATAATAATCATGCCTTAGAATATATTTCAAAAATTAATTTATTCAACATTCATTTCTTGTATCCCAAAATGTGGATATTTGCACTGTTAGGATGAGAGCACTTACACAACTTCTGCTCTACCAATTTCTCTGTCATTTTACCAAAGCTCTGAGATACTAGTTTCTGCTTCAGTTGTTAATTTAACATTGTACAATATTATTTTAAGAAGTAAAAAAAACTAGGACTTAGAAGGTGGCGGGGGGGGGGTACCTGGTTTAGTCAACAAAGCTGAATGGAGAAAGTAAATAAAGGTACCTCCTCTAGACTAGAGCAGCCAGGGCTAATGAGTATGTCGTTTTCTTACCATAATGCCATGATTGAAATGTAGTATTTAATGGTGAAGCCCTCTTACAGATTGAAATACTATAGTTACAGTGACAGATCCTTGGAATTATATGTGAAATGGTGTATCTTTTATCCCAGTATCCAAATTTGTAAAATAATTGCTTCGAAACCAGGGTTATTGACTAAACCTTAGTAATTTCTAATTGAGGATATAACATGTTTCCGTTATTGAAATAAATTCAGACTCTGAACTAATTTTAAGTACTTAGCTCTTTAAGTATATTTTATTGATTATGCTATTACAGTTGTCCCATTTTTTTCCTCATGTTTATCCCCTCTGCCCTGCACCCCCTCCTCCCTCCAACATCCCCCTCTCCCCCACCCCTTAGTTCATGTCCATGGGTCATACATACAAGTTCTTTGGCTTCTCAATTTCCTATGCTATTCAACCTCCCCTTGCCTGTTTCATACCTACCAATTATGCTTCTTATTCCCTGTACCTTTTTCCCCATCCCTCCCCACCCCCTCCGTCCTGATAACCCTCCGTGTGATCTCCATTTCTGTGATTCTGTTCCTGTTCTAGTTGTTTGCTTAGTTTATTTTTTTTTTAGTTTTTTAGGTTCAGTTGTTGATGGTTGTGAGTTTGTTGTCATTTTACTGTTCATAGTTTTGATCTTTAAGCACTTAGCTCTTTAGACATGTTTAAGATACTAGGTAAGCATTTGTGATAGAAGACTTATCAGTAAAATTTTACAAAGCAGTTTTTAAAAGCCATTGGTTTATTATTGTGACAGTTGTTAATAAGTCTGTGTAACATTAGCAATTTTTGCTTCCTGAATATATTGGGGTATCTGAGAGGGAGTGTGGAAGGAGGACGGGAGGACGGGAGGTAGGATGTATTTAGTTTGACATATTTTGGAGTTCATTTAGTTCTTTATTTCAAAGTTTCTACTTGAACTAAACGCTTAACCATTTTAATAACTAAAGATTTATGGAATAAAAGTTGATCTACAAAGCAGCATTTTGAAATCACCCATATCTTCTAGACACAGGTTAAGTATAGGTCTTGTGCTATGCTCTCTTCTAATCCTAAAGGTCTTTAATAACTATGGGTTTAAGTTTATAGGTTTCTTTAATATATATATTTGAAAAGGAGGCAGCAAATCCTTTAAAGGAAAACTATTTGTCTTTAAGGGAAAATTAATATTTAACTAAAGCTTTACCTTTTGTGCTGTATGATTATTTTATTTTACAGACTCCAGGCATCCGAGCTCGGCCTGCAAGACTTCAGTGGTTTTGTGAAAGATGTATTTCAAGTAATCAGGTTTGTGTTTAAGTTATGGTTTAAAGCACCTAAAACTGTGAATAGAAAGCAAGTGTCCTACATGTCATATGAGCACTTGTGGATTTCAGGAGACAGAATGTTATTAATGGAAGTAGTATTGTTTTGGTTGTTTTCCAAATAAGCTATAGCTTAATTCTTGTTCCTGTAGTAGTTCCGAAAAGTTCTGAGTTGGGCCATGAAGATTTTAGCTTGGTTTATCTGACTTGTTTTGAGCAGGTTAACCTTATTTTCTTGGCAATTAAAATCTGCCTCAGTCCTTAGTGACCAGAGGAGTTGCTTGACAGAAACCCAGTGGAAATTCTACTTTACCTCTTTTACCTCCTCCCCTGTAGTTCAGATACCTGTTTATATCCTGCCAAGTAAAAGCCACAGGGGAACAGTAGTATAACATTTGGGTGGACATTCTTTTGAACAGGTACTTATAGGATATACTCAATGAGTCCTCCACCCCTAATATTTTTCACTTCTCCAAAATATACCTGGCGGGTGTTCTCTCAACTAGGTAATTGGTCCTGCTGTGTTCTTGACTCCAAGGAGTCCTTGAATCCTTTAACTTAAAAAAATATATATATTTTAAATAGTGATAAAATACAAGCAACATAAAATTTCTCATTTTAACCATTTTAAGGTGTATGGTTTAGGGGCATTAAGTACATTTACGTCATTGTACTCAGCCCTTTAATTTTTGAAGTAAAGTTAATTTTCCCTTTGGGTAAAGCTAATTTCAAGGATTATTCAACTGAGGTATGTCAACTATAAAATACATTTACTGTACAATCTAGATCCATCTGTCATTCTAATTTTTAAGGTTGAAACTCTAGAAAAATTAGTGGAGCTGACACAGAAGCTATTTGAATGTGACAGAGACCAGCTATACTACAACCTGCTAAAACTATATAGTAAGTAATCTGACTGTTCCTCTTGTTTTCATTCTGATACCTGATACCTTTATACATTCTATTCAAGGCAGTAGGCAGGAAAGGAGTCTTAGGCTTTGAGGAAGCTCCAGGGATTGTCAAGTGTAGAATATTCAAAAGAGGCCCACGTAGAGGCCAGATTGAACTTTATCACAAAATGTTATACCGTATCACTAGACATTATAGTTTCTGATATACTTACTACAGTAATGAGAAGATGAGAAAAGTCTTTATCAGAATTGCACGATTTAATAGGACTTTACAGGATAGATATTCTTTTTCTTCTTTTTATTTAAATTTCTGGGTCAGCTATTTTCATCTCTTTTCATCTCTTGGCGCACATAAACTAACTACTAAAATCCTGCAACACACCAAAAAATACATTTTTTGCCGATCTGACAAAAACATAGGTATAATTAATTGATTCATTCACATCATATGGTTATTGTTGTTGTTGTCATTTTTTTATTTGACAATCTAAGGGGAAAGAAGTCATGGTTCCTAACTAAATTAGTTAGGTATTGACTGTTTTAGAAATTCTTGTAGAACACCAGTTGGAAATTGCTGTATCGCTCATTTCAGTAACTAGGTAATGATCAGCAGTGTTCATGAGTATAGATCTTTTTCCAGAAAAGTGCGTATTGATGTCCAAACTCATTGCTAAGCAGTTTCTCTTTAAAATGTGATCATACTACAATACAGTTTTTGACTCAGTTCTGTTTACAAATATTTTTCTACATTTATCACCTGTAAATGACTACATTGATTAGAATTTAATCAATCTCCTATTGCTAGACATGTGAATAAATTTCAGTTTTCCATATTATAAATTAACATTGCATTAGTCATCTTTGTACCTTAATCTTTTCTCACATCCTTAATTGCTTTTTTAGGCTGAATTGTATTTGTATTAAAGGTTAAAAGTGATTGACGTTTCTGAAACTTTTGATCTGTTACCCAGCAATGCTCTTAATATGTTTTTTACACATCTGGGAACTTGGCAGTCTCTTTTGGGGTATTTGGGTAGAGAGGAACAACACTTAGAATAGTCAGTGAGCTCTTTTTTTTCTTCAGAGATAGTTGATCCAAACTTATTGTCCTCTTTTTCTAATGCGAAATTTTCCTTCACCAAAAATAGTGTGCATAAGTTGATTCATTTATCTTTTTGAACTTGTATTTGTTATTATTGGGAGCTTTATCTTACATCTTGATGGTGTAAGTAAAATAAGACTTGCTGTAAAATTTACATTTCACTTGTTGGTTGCTTTGAAGTATACACTTTATATACATTCTTACAGTTGTTATTTTCACCCTGTATTGTCAGTCTTAAAATTTTGGCTTGAATCATCAAATTGTGGCTCACAATAATGCGGTTGTTATTGACGATATAGAATTTTAAAAGTTATATTTTAGACATTTGGTCCTTAATTTGTGGATTATAACCTATAATGAATACTAATTGTTTCTCTTTCCCCTACATTTTCTCTTTGGAAAAACTGACTATTCCATGCTTAAATTCTAGTTTTATACAAACCTTAGAAAAATATTGAATTTATCCAAATGAGACTCAGCATTTACAGTAGTTCCCATAGAAAACTGTATAAACTGTCATTCAGAAAAAAATTGTAGATTAAGAGACAAACTATAACCATTTTCATACTAGCTGTACTAAAACTGATGATATTTTCCACTTATTCTAGATAGTATGGTGTTCATGGGTGATCTGTTACAAGAAAGTGTCATAATTCAAACTTTAGTTCTATCCTTTCTAATACATTTTGACTTTTCATTGTGATAGCCTTGGAAGATTAGATGCTGAGACCTACAACAAACGTTACATGAAACAACCTCTTCACCTACATAAGGAATATACTATTATATCTAAATGACAATATTTTCACCTTCTTACCAAACATTTTTTATATTGTAAACACTTCAATTTCTTTACATATACAAAATAAAGGTAGTTTGTTCTTTGAATACATAAAGTATTATATCCAAAAATAAAGCTGCTTTACATTTGTAATCTAGCAATAAAAATTTTTTTGAATCTTTTTAAAAACCCAACATTTACAACCTTAGCATGTATTCTACCTCAGAAATTATTTATGTACTATTTTCTTCAGGTACTTATAGCCATTGATATTTTCCCCACACTATACGGTCTTTCCCCCTTCATTATGAAACAAATAAAATATCAATATATTCGAAATTACTAAAGATTTCAACAGTACAAATGGGCGACAGAAGAAAGTGTGAAAATGTCATTGTGTCCACCCAACTTGTCCACTGCCCATCTTTCCAATTCTCTGTCCATTTATATCCAGTATTTTTAATTAAACATCTATTATTTTGGTTATATTCTCTACATGTTTGATAGTCTAGTCTTGTTCCCTGGCTTCCTTTTTTACTTAATATGAAATAAATTCACAGGGAAAGGTAAATGCTTTGTCCATTTAATTACCAATTTTTAAATGGTGGTGTCCTCAGAACCTCTAAATTTGGTCACTGATTTACTTTATTTTATGAGTTCTTCAATTTTTAAAAAATGTTTATGTTTGAATTTGTTACAGCATTACTATTTTTGGTGCTCAGATTGACTCCTCTTTGGCCAGTGGGAACCCCTTCACATAGGTTTTGACATCATTTGACAGACCGTGTTAGTCTTCGATAGTTCCTTGTTTTCAGGCAAAACAAAACAATCCAGACTTATGGGGCGTAATTCCTGTCCTTGACCTGGAGTCTTTATTTTAGAGGGGAATAATATTTTGAGACCATAATCCGGTGATTGACAAATGGGGAAGTTGGAAATTGCCCCATTTTTATGTAAAGTAATATGTAAAAATTTACCAGCTTTGTGAGTAAAACTGTAAACTAGAAATCTTTATCTCTTAGTTTTAATACCATAGAGACCCATGTATAAAGTGCTGTTTTACACACTCATCTTGTAGCCTTAAAATGTAGCCCCACAGCTATCTTTATGCTTGTAAAATTCACTAACAGGTCAAAAATCTTCGGTTTTATACCTTAGGAATTCTCAGTGATATTTAGTAGTGAGGCTCTTTAGGATATTTAGTAAAGAGGAGGCTCTTTAGAGGGAACCATGAGTTCTAGGAAAGAGGTGGGAGTGTAGAGGCGAGAGTCATTCCCTGGTCACAGCACAGGTTCAGGCCTCTTTGACTTTTCATATAACAAGTGTGATTGTTGTACTCATGGTAGAAGGAATTTTAAGCCTCGGATGGATATTGTGAAAGAAGGGCATGGCTTTTCTCTGCCTTTGTGAGCTTTTACACACAGCTGCAGATTTTGGCACACTGGCTAATTTGGTTGCCTCAAATCGATGTGTTTTGTAACCCAGGTACATTTCTGAAAGATACTTTCCCTTGGCGACATGTATAAGGTATAGGAAGGTCCAGAATGTTTGAAAGTATGCAACTACAGGATTCTCTTTAAAAGTGACTAATCAGACTTTTTTTCACATAGTTGAGTAGGGAGAATTCCCTTGGAATAGTTATGTTAGTGTAAAAGTTAAATATTTTACTTTTAACTTTTTAGTTTGGAAATAAAAGTTAATTTTTTTAAAAAAGAGCACCTTAGCAGTGCTGTCCCCCATTCTTGGACACCTTCCTTCACTGTGTGCTCTGTAGTGGACTATACCCTTGGGCTGGAAGCAGAAGCTCTCCCTTTCCCCTTTTTCCGAATTAAAGATTCTGGGGCCTGGTGTTTTGTTTGTAATTTATTTATCAAATTTAGTTTTATACATTCACACACTTGAAGAAATACTTTTACAATTTGAATTTTGCATTACATGAGAACATTTTAATGAAGGAAAAGCATAATTAGTTTATTAGAGTCCTATTTTGAATATTGACTGTAAATTTAAGGGTTTTAAATTAATTAGACTTATTTATTATTAAAGTTTGTATAAAATAAAATTACTCTGAACTTCAGATTAATTTCTGTTGGGGCCACCTTTTAGTATATTCTATGTGAAAGTTTAGGCTGCTTCTACATATGACCTAGGGAAACTTTCTAAATCATTACTTACCTTTTTCTTTATTGCAGGTTTCTGATGGGGTGTGAATATTTTTTGTTCTTTGACTTTTTTACTCCCAGGAATCATTAGTTATCAAAAACTGCTTTTAAATGTTGGGGGGTGGGGTAATCTAGGAAAATTCCATTTGTTTTATTTAGCATTTGGGTATATTTGAGAGACAAATTTACTTAACGTTTTCTGGAACATAGGTGCGTTGATTCAAACCCCCTTCCCTAGAGCTGACCATACACAATTGAGATATTCTATCTTCATATTTGCAAATTTTAAAAAAGAACACATTTAAAACTATTTTTAAATTTTTTTCTGTATGTTAATCCACAAGTATTTACTGAGTGCCTGCTGTGTACCAAGGGCACACAGGTCACCTCAGGCGCAGGAGGGCCCTCACATGGCAGATGATGTCCAGAAGGCTAAGCAGAGGAGCCATCATTTTGGCCACACGGCGCCCCCTTCCATGCTTGTGGGACCACCACCTCCTCAAAGCTTTCTTGGTTCCTTCCCCAGCTCTCCTCCCATTGTCCCAGAGGGCACACCTGTCCTTGGCCATGGGACATCTTCTTGTGTTTAGGCCAAGGAAACAAGGGACACTGGGTTCCTTGCTGAACCCTGGGAGCAGCAGTGTCCAGATTTACAGATGGGAAACAGGCTGGTGGCTGGACAGGGCGTGGATTTGAACAGGGAGCTGAGGGCTTTCTGCAGAACACCTCCCCTCAACTCCATGCCTTGGTCCTGCCTGGCAGCTGAGCTTTATCTCCTCCCCGGTCCCTCGGCTGCTGTTCTACCCTGCTCCCGGAAACCCTCGGCAGACCAGGCCTCTGGGAATGCAGGGCACGGCGGGAGCTCCCCGAGTCTTGTGTCTTCCCCTCTCTGTGGGCCCCAATAGCCTCCTGGACACCATCTGCCATGCAGCCGCCCTGGTCCTCTACCCTTTGTGGCTCCAAAGTGAGAGTCTGGAGTGGTTTCTTTGTGTTTAGTAGTTATTTAGAACTTAATGTGTCCCACGACATTTTTTTATCTTCTGCTAGTTTTTCACAAGCAGAAGTCTGTTGAATGATTTGATCTTTTCTCTTTTGAAGACCCATTAGGTGTTTAAGTCTAAAGTCCTTTTTTTTTGGCTTTAGTAGATTTAATTGAATTTATTAGGGTGACATTGGTTAATAAAATTATATAGGTTAAAGTCTTGATTTTTAAGCTTTTGCTGTTTGTGAAGACTAGGTTACCACATAGAAGGAACTAGCTTTTTCAACATGAAGGAATCTGCCTACTTCCTTCCAATAAACTTCCTTTCCTTTTAATACTTCCTTCGTCTGATAGCAATGTCTGTTGAGATAAAAAAAAATTATCACACACTGTCATAGAAATTTTACAAGTCAACCAAAGAGACAGAATTCTCCCTACTCAAATATGTGAAAAAAGTTTGTTGATTAGTCACTTTTAAAGAAAATCATACAGTTGCACACTTTCAAATGTTTTAGACCGTCAGCCGTGTACTGTACTTGGACATGTAGCCATTATCTTTCCAAAGACTGAACTACCTGTCTCTGATTTTGATTTCAGCAGTAGGCAGTTTCTCAGTACTTTAAAAAGACAGACTTTTTATCAACAGGATTTTTAAGGTGTTTACCAAAATGCCAGGGGGTTTTTTTGTTGGTTTTGTTTTTTAATAAGTAAGGAATTTCTGTAGTTTAAAAATCAAAAGATGTGCAGAAAAGAAGCCATATTACCTTTGGTCCACAATCACCTTTTCATTTCCCTGGAGGCAGTACTTGAAATAATGCTTGCTTCAACATCAGATAAGAAAAAGTCCCAAATATTTTCATGAATTCTACTTAATATGCTCATTAATTTCTGTTTCATCAAATTTTATAGAAATAAATGGTGACTGGCAAAGAGCTGATGCTGTCTGGAATAAAATGCAAGAAGAAAATATTATTCCTCGTGGGAAGACATTAAGATTATTAGCAGAAATCCTTAGAAACAATAATCAGGAGGTTCCATTTGATGTACCTGAGGTAATTTGTTTTTAACTGTAAGCATAATAGATTTTTGTTTCAGTATAACTTTAGGTCATAGATCACCCCAGTTTTATACTGAAAAGATCACTGTATATACCACTTTTTGTGTAACTGAATAATTTTGTTTTTTAAGTTGTGGTATGAGGATGAAGAATATTCCCTGAATTCTTCAGCACCCTCAGTTGGAGAGACTAATTTCCAGAAAGATCTATCAAATGCCTGCCAAAAGAAGAAAAGCAAAGGTAAGCATGCATACTGGGGTCTTCCTTCTAATAGCAACATGGGATCTAAGGCACCAAAATTAAAAGTGTTCTAAGGTAGAGGCAGAACTTAAATTATATATATTAATTCTATTTTATTTTTTAAATTAACAAAGACATTTTGGGGAAATCGGGAAAATTTGAATATTGACTGAGTAGTAGGTAATATTAAGTGCATTGCTTTCATTTTTATTAGATATTATCATGATACGATCTATAGGAAAATGTCCTTAAATTTGGGGATATATAATGAAATATTGAGAGAAAAAAAAATCTAAATTTCTAGAATTTCTTTTCAAATACTTAAGCAATAAAGAACAAAGATAAATATGGCAAAATGTTAATAATAATTTTTAAAGGTAGGTTACAGGTGTGGGGGTAGTTCATTACATTATTCTTTAGAATTTTATGTACATTTGAACTTTTTCATAATGAATACTAAAAGAGGTATACATTTTCTCCGAAAACACACTTTGAGCCCTGGCTGGTGTATCTTAGTTGGTTGGAGCATTGTCCTGTAGGTCATGGGTTGGATCCTTGGTCAGGGCGCATGCCTGCGTTATGGATTTGGTTCCAGTTGGGACGTGTACAAGAGATACCTGACCAGTGTTTCTCTCCCCCTCTCTAAAATCAATAACCATGTCCTCAGGTGAGGATTAAAAAAAAACTTATGCTTTGAAAATAGCATTATCAGGAATGGTTTTGGGGAAATTTATTACATGTTCTGCTTTAATTTGAAAGCAAAAAACAGTTAGGGCATTAACCACCCTAATCATAGTGTGTGTTGAAGTAATTAAACAATACAGTAATCTTCCTTTATCCATGGGGGATACGTTCCAAGGCCTCCAGTGGATGACCAAAACCACAGTAGTACTGAGCCCTATATATACATCCCGTGTTTTTTCCTATATATGCATATTGATGATAGGGTTTAATTTATAAATTAGGAACACTAAGAGATTAACAACAATAACTAATAATAAAATAGAACAATATACTGTAATAAAAGTTATGTGAATGTGACATTATTAATTAAAATAAGTGGTACTTGAACATAAGCACTGCAGAAACAAGACAGTTGATCTGATAACCAAGCCAGCTATTAAGTGAATCTAATGAGAGGGTTGCATATATGGCATGGATGCGCTGGACAAAGGGCATCCTGGGCAGCTTCGTGCAAGATTTCAACATGCAACCCAGAACAATGAATGATTTCACACGTATAAATTTTTTTAATTTCTGGAATTTTCCATTTAATATTTTTGGACCACAGTTGACCAAGAAACCATAGATAAAGGAGGGACATGAGCTTTGTTTCTGGGTTTCCTTCCCTTTCTCTGGTGGTAAACTTTCCTGAAGGCATGCCTGCTTCTATTATGAGTACTTCGTAAGTTTTACGACTGTCTTGAATGCTGATGCCTGAGGTTGCTGATTGCATTCTAGCTATTTTCACTTAGACTTTGTTGTACTCTCCCAAAATTAGATATTACTATTGTTTCATATATTTTTGTTAATTTTTCTCCATAGAATGGTACCATTATTTTTAAGTCCTTCAGTTTTTGTGTGGATTTTCAAGTATGCTTTATGATAGTTTAACTATTATTATGCAGCAGAATTTTTTTTTTTTTTTCATTTTAGTATGACAGTTTTGAGCTCTGGTCAGTAGAAAGAAATCAGTTTAGAAATGTATAGAGCCACTTAATTTCTTAACTAGAAATTTTGTGACCCAATGGGAAATATACAAAATAAGACTAAGCTAAGCTCCTATGCTTTGTCAATCATACAGAGGTTAGTCAATGTTCATTGCTAAATATTCAGTCTGTACATTCTTGAGTCTTTCCCCATGCAACTGTTGAACCTAAATGTAGAATTGATTATCATTATCATTATTTTAAAAATATTTTAATGGAGTTTTGATTTGTTTCTGTTTAAAGATTCCCAAACTTCTTCATGTATTGCCTTTTTTTAAAAATTGCTGTTTAGGTAAAAAAAAAATAAATAAATAACCAGTTATTAAGTAAATAAGTATATAAGTAAATAAGTAAATTAAGTATAACGTGGTATTTATTATAAAGGTAAAGCTACATTCCTCTTCTGGTTTTAATATACAGTTTGCACTTACCTAATTGTTTTCATCCTGTTAATTTTTTCAGAGCTTTTAGTCCCTTTTGGGTATATCTAGGGTTTGGATGCTTAGCAAAATATGAATACTTTGAAAAGATAATGCTTGCTTGTATTGAGTACTTTGAGAAATGAATACTTGCATTAGCGCTTCATCAATTTCTGATAGTTATGTATACTAAACGGGACAAAGTGACCTTCCCACCAGAAACGAACCTGTGGCGAGTGAGTTTGGTGTATTACAATGACAGCTTTTTTTTTTTAATTACTAGAAAATAATAAACACAGCCATATCAATTTGTATGAAGACTACAACTTTTAGGAAACAACTAGTAAGATTTTCTAGATTATTTTATTGATCTTAAATATTTAAATTGTACTTACTTATTTTTATTCAGCAATCTAGTGAACTGTTATATATGCCTATTGGGAAGTAGACAGTAATCATATTACATTTTAATTTCTTAGCCCCCTTAAAAGGAAAATAATATGCATTGTGTACTGAATGATACATTCTATCTGTTCTAAAAGTTAAGATACAAATATTAATGTATTATCTTTTCTCTCTTGTTTTCTGTGAATTTTCCTTGAAAGGATAATTTTTTGATATGTCACTTCAGTTTGAGATGCTAATGCAAAGTCCTCTAATTATAAATACAAGCATGGTTTCTGCTTTCAGAAACCTCTAAAATAACTTGTAATGTTCTTCTGAGCATTAATACCATGTTCATTCCTAGCTCTGTGCTCTGTATTTCCTTACATTGAGCTTTATATCCATAGAAGGTTGTATGTGGTAGTTCATTTATGCCCAATCTTTACTGTGATTTGTTTGTATACACCAGAGAGTGGATTGTAGTTTCAGTTGGATGTTTATAGCCAAGCAATTTTATTTCAGAAAAGTAAGTGACTGAAAAGTGTAGTTACTTCTCTTTTGGTAACATCTTTTCATTCACTGACAGTTATTGTGAACAAGTGAAATAAAACTGTTAATCAGTCAAACAAATGTTGCTTAGTTTACTTGTTAGATATCTGTATATTTGAAAATTGTATGTTTTTGTATAAGTCCTGTCGTAGCCAAATAATTTGATCTCCTAATTTTAGAATTATAGGCTATATTCACTTTAATGCTATTGTGTGGAAATGTTAACCATTGTAACCACCCACTTATAGATTACAGATAGCTTTAAAATGAATCTTTTGCTCCCCTCAATCTAAATTATACCTCTGGTTTATTTGGACTTTAAGACACATTTTGCCGTTTATTTCGAAACTGCTATCTTTTGAAAAACAAATTAAGAAGAGCTGTTTCTTGTTTTTATTGGCATGAAAACAATATTGACTTTTGAAAGTGAATTTGAAAAAAATAACTTTAAAAGGAGACCCTTTCAGGTACCATCCATTTGGATTAAGTAGTTTCCAAAACTCACTTTATATTTTAAAGATTAAAAAGGCAACAGCATTTGCTTGTGTGGGCAGTGTGTGTCTCTGTAGAGTGGTGTAGTGGGTGAGTTTTAAAAGAAACAAATATGTGGGTATAGGTCTTTGTTTTAGGGGTTTTTTTCCCCTCCTCTTTGCCATTTCAGTTATGTCATCTTATTTTGTGTTGTTTTCTTTGTAGATGCATATAATATTTTCCTGAAAGCACAAAAGCAAAATGTTGTGTTTGATAGCGGAACTTACAACAATCTTATAAAATTACTGTTGACAAAGGATAGCTTTACAGAAGCGATGCAAGTGAAAGATTGGTAAGTATTAGTCTATTTATTAAACCTCTCACTCAAACAACTATCACTTCTCATTAAGGATTTTTCTAATGATGTATTGTAGTAGCAGTTGCTTAATTATCCTCAACTACCCACAAAAATTATATTTCTAATTTTATGGGTCTTTTTAACCTATAACATATATAACTTTACTCACCCAACATGGTGCAATAACTTTTATTTACCTTATGTAACCTCGTAACTTATTTATGATATCCATATGTAAGTAATTTTTATCATATCCTGTTTCTTGTTCAGCAGCTAGATCCATGTACCTTTTGTGGTGGGAGCAATATGATACCAGGAAGACACCAAGGGCCTTGAACTTAGGCAAGACTTTGAATCTTACTTGAAAGTTCTGTGACCTTTCTTGTATCTGAGCCTCAGTTTTTCTTATATACGATGAGTGGATGACAATATTTACATTAAAGATTTCTTATAAATAATGAAAGAGATAGGAGGAAATAGAGAAAATTTAGATACTCAACACATTTTAAATACCTTTCCCCCGTTTTGTTGTGTTTTTTTTTTTTGGTTTTTTTTTTTTTTTTTTGAAGCCTGCCTGGTAGTATTGGGTATTAGTGGTAGTAGTGGTTTTGTCCCTCTAGCTAGTTCCCTAGAGTGAAATACTTTATTAACCAGAGCAAGAGTAAAGTTTTCATACCTGGTGTGTCAGTTAACTCACGGGTCCCCAACCCCCAGGCCATGAGCAGAGCTCACCTGAGCTCTGACTCCTTCCCCCCACTCCCACAGTCTTCCATGAAAGCACGCCAAGAAGGCCAAGGGTGGGGGAACCGCTGATTAACTGACTCTTATTCCCCAAGTAGTTATCTTGAACAGTTGAGTAATCAGAGTCCTAGAAAGGAGTAAGGAGTAGAGCAAGGTCTGCTCTGGAATGGAGACCTGTCCTGTTGATGAGTCCATAGCTTTATTTTCAATGGCAGAGGTCACCCTTTTCTTAGTATATTGTGAGTTCTGAAATAATCTCTGTTGGCTAACTTTTGGCCTTTAAACTTTTTTACCAAAATTTTATATTCAAAAGTCTAAAATCTATAGAAAAATTGCAAGCTCCCTTCAATTAGTACTCATAAACCCTTTAATTCACCAAATGTTAATATTTTGCTACAATTGCCTTACTTTCTCACACACATAGTTGAGCCTTCAAATTTTTTGTCTCAGCCCTTTTGAAATATTAGAATCTTGAGTAGAAAATGGATGCTTGCCATTCTTGCAATTTGCTAGAAAACCTGGTGTAAATACAAGTGTTATATTAAAGTTATGCACCATATGGCCATATTTACTGTTGTTCAGTGCATTTTGAAAAATGTGTTGCATATGACTGTACTTGTCTGTGGAAATATATATTCACAGAAACATGTACAGTATATATGGATATATACATATATGGTATATGGATACATATGTATGTACACATACCATATATAACTACAGTCTTGACTCATCATTTGTATGTTGATATTGGACAGTCACACTAAGACTTTTTAAGTTCAAGAATACTCACTGCATCCTCAATTAGTGACTCAGAAAATTTGACAGTGAACAGCATCCTGTTACCGCTAATCATTGAGGTCATCAAGGGGGTATGGGTTTTTCCCAGAATTATTTTCTCAGGAAATCGTTATCTAAACTCTCTCCCAACACTGCCTATTATAATCAAAGGTGTTCTGAAGCAACAGTGGTTTGGAAGGAATGGGAGGCAGGAAAAAGAGAGGGGCATTTTGTGTTGAGAAGTGGGTATGAATAAGTGAGGGGATAGAAGCAAAGAAGGAAAACTTTAAAAAAAAAACAAAACACAAAAAACTTTTAATCCTGAGGTTGGTTTCAAAGATCTCTAAATTACTTCCCAAAAGCACAGATGATAATTTTATTATTTTTACTGAGCTTCTTCTAGAACAGGGAGCCTCGCATTCTGGTAGCATAAAAAGATTCCCTGCAGCCAAAGGTTCTGATTCAGCTGACTAGGAATCTGCATTTTACTAAAACACGCAGGTGATTCAAGAATCATGTCAAGCATTTCAACTGCATACCAGTAATAGTGAATCGTACTAATGTCTCTCACATAAATATATTATAAAACATACTCAAAAAATAAAAATTTTTCAGAAGATTTAAAAAGAGGTTTAAATATTGTTTTGCCTCACCCTAGAACATTCACACAATGTGCATGCTTCTTGTTGAAGACAATGGTCTTGTAGTTTTTCGAACTGCACTTGTAACCAGTTGGTGGATCATGGAGCCAACCTAGTGGGACATTTTCTTAATTAAACATCAAAGCACTTTATGTACTAAAACTGCTTAGCGACTGGCATGTGTTATAAAAACCTCATTTCTTACTATGTTTGTCTGTGAATCTTGATCACACAAGTGTGTAATTTGCCAGCCTAGAAGATGGTTACAAGCTCTGCCCTTCTGTTTCCCTTTATGTCCACAACCTGGAAAATGTAAGCGTCTCTTCTTTCCTTCCCTCCCTCTCTAGATCTTCATGGAGCCTTTCTGTACTTTTGAGGTCACCATTATCTTAGCTATCTTACTCTTCGAGTATCATGCAGCTGCCTTCTCCAAGTAGCTGTGTGGGCCTAAGAAATCCTAGATTCAAAGCCGCCAAGTGCCCAGAGGCACCTGATCTTGGGATTGAATGCACTTCCTTTCCCTCCAACCAATGAAATGTTATATTTGACAGTGAAGAATTGTATCTTGGGTCAGATCTACACTGAGTACTTTTGAAAACAACTCTAGACAGGGAAATCAGAAGTGGAAGTTGTAGTTCCAGTTTCCAACTAATGAACTGTGTTACTGAAGAAATATCATGTAACTTCTCTGGATTCATTTCCTGGTTCATTATCAACATGAGGCCAGGTTATCTCTTCCCCTTCTATTTCTGTGTCCATGATCAGAGCAGAAAAGAATTGTTGCTTTGTTTTGTAGGCATCTTTATTATAATATGGTGTAACCAAATGAGCCACTGTAGCAAGAGGCGGTTCCTTGCTATGATTCTGGTGCTATTACTCTCAGTTAATAAATAGCAATCTGTTGTTAAAGTTACCTACTACATGATGCCACCTGTTCAGTCTTAGGAGCAATGGTTTTCCTCTGAATTAAAAGGCGCAGTCTTTGGGTTTTGCTGTACCTTTGCTGTCAGCAATGTGTTGCAGATTCACTTGACCTCTAATAAGATTTCTTCAATTTCACTAACAAGGTCATTTAACCTTCCCAGCTAGTAATAGAACCTCAGAAGTAACAGTAAGAGCTGCCTTTAAAAAATTTTAAAGAAACCAACTTTTTTTCACTTTTAGTTAGAATTACATTTCTTCATGTTTCAAAGTAAAACTTTACGTATAGTGAATTATTTCACGGGAGTGGAATTGCTTATTCAAAGAAAAGTAACGGATATAAATTATTGTTTAAAATTGCTGATGACACTAAACTGTACTTTAGAAAATTTGAGAATCATACAGAGTAGCATCACCTTATTTTTCGAGAATAGTACTTTGTTTTCTCTTGTTCCTGCCAGCTTCTTATTTTATTCTATCTATAAATACTGCTAAATCAGCCACTGATGGTTTTTACCGGATTGGCCAGTTTTTCTTATCAAAAGTAAGATAAATTATAATCACCAACTATTGTTCTGTATACAAATTAAGTAAGTATTTATATCCATACACCAGTCATTGCTCTGAAATCTTTCAGGTGAAACTCTCCCTATAATACTATAATCTTTGGCTAAGACAGATTAATTCTTGCAGTTGATTGTAAGTTAAAAGATTTATATCCTTTATTCTTTGTAATTATTTCCTTTCTTTTGGCACTTCTAAAAATGGAAAGAAAGTTTCTAGAATTCTGTGTTGTTCAATCCAGTGGCCATTGTATATGTGCTTGTTTAAATTAATTAAAATTAAATATAATTATTTCCATTCCTCTATCCTATATAGCCAGCCCCGTGTGGCTTGTGGCTGCCTTACTGGACAACGTGCATAAAGAATAATCCCATTGTTAAAGGAAGTTTGATTTGACAAACCTGGACTAGATCGTTTTCCAAAAGAAAAGATAAAAATTATGGATCAGAAGTAAACTTACTGTATTGTATTCTGTTGTATTCTATAAACAAGTCCTACACAAAGATCTCTTCCAGTAACTTTTATAGTTGTTTTTTTTTTTTCCCCATTTTGCCAGTTTGGAACATATTTTGGAGGTGACTGATCAATTCTACATATGTAAAACTTAAGTGATCGGTATATGATGAAGTTTACTAATCTGACTTTTATATGTGTATTGAGTAGGCAGCTTCTTAAGGTGGGAAAGATGATCTGTGTTTTGAGGTTTTTGAAATGTTTGTAATTCACACTTCATGTCAGTTAAAAAAGAGAAGTTTTGTTACTTTGTGGTTTTAATAAATTTTATGTAATATTTTCAAGTAAGTATGGGATACATGTAATAATATCTTCATAAGAAGTGAGCTTAATTTTAATAGAATCTACTGTTTACTTAATCACGCTAAAGATTGAGAAAGTAAATCCTTTATGTTAGGCAGTTTATAGTCTCATGCAGGAGTTGTTGACTTAAGAGCTTTGACAGATGGTACAAAGGAAAAAAGTCAAACAGCAGTGGGTGCTTTGGTGGGATTAAGAGGATCGGTTGGGGGATAAGAAAATCCTGTGCCCAGGGACTGCGGGGTGAACCTCAGAGGCTGGAAGTGGCAGCGGACGGGCACATCACAGTGTTTTTGGAGGATTTTCTTGGGATTGATGAGAATAATTTAGCAGTGACCCTGCTGTTCTCGAAATCTGCCCAGCTTAGATATTCATGTTGGCAGGCTGAGGTTGGTGGCAGCGAGATTATCGCTGAGCTTGATAAGGCAAATGGCAGCAATGCTTTTGCTCCTTGTGACCTGTGGAGATTTCCTGATTTTTTTCCTGGGGGCATTACAGATCCTGAAATTGCATCACAGGACCTGTGCCAGCAATGTAGCGCACAGAAATTATCTATGACTAGGGTTTTCTTTGGTTTGTTTTTTTAAAGTCACGTAGGTTTTAGTCATGAGCAAAGCAATATTTTTTGCTCTTGTGTTTTAAAAAGTTGGGGGGAGGTGTTCATTTTATTTATTTATTTATTTATTCGTTTTAAATTTAAGGCCAGGACAGGATTGTGGTGTGAAATTTTTAATTTTAATATAAGAACGGTTTTAGTTTTGCAGTATGTTCACCTTTAAAAACTGCATGTATCTAGATGACAGAAATTTAAAAATTAATCAACCAAATGATATGGGGTTAGTTAGTAATATGCTTTAGTTTATACTTAAAATATACAGTGCTGAAAGTAAGTGTTCATTTTTGTTGCTGAAAGAACAGTTTTACATTTTATAATTATGGTGAATGTAGAAAAAAGAGGAAAAAGGATCTAGCTTAGGATACAGCAGAACAATGCAGGGCATGCAGTTATTTTAGTCATCTAATATGTCAGCATTCAAGAATCCGAACCGATTGTTTAAAAAAAATCTTGTACTTTGTTTCTTTTGTTGCTCATTTCCAACTTTGTCATCTGTCAGAATGCAAAAAAAAATTATCCTTCTATAACCATTGACAGGATAACACAAAAGCTGTCTCCAGGTCGATATTTTGCAGCAATATTTTTAACATACGAACAGTAGTTTTTATAATTTCACCTTGGTGCTCAACCATTTATTATCGTATCAGAAGCATGTCAGTAATTCCTTTCTAAATGTCTGCTTCTTTTAGCGCTGAGACCCACATCAAGGGCTTCACACTGAACGATGCTGCCAACAGCCTCCTCATCATAACGCAAGTTAGGCGGGATTATTTGAAAGGTATGTCACAATGCTTGACCTTTACGTCACATTAATGCCTCTGCAGATTTTTCTTGTAACGCCCTTCGAATACTTGGATAAAGGAGTCCATTTAGCAAATTACCTGCTTATCAAGAGCCTTTTGTGGTAGCTGAGAGACGTAAATTACTGTACATGCATTTATAATACAGCTTGAATATGAATGTACTTGTCATTTGACCACTTAGTCCAGTTTCCATTCCATTTAACACAAGATGGGTTTTCTTAAGATGAATCACAGCTCTTCAGACATGCAAAATTTGTGTTCCAGAACGAGAGAAAGTACAGGCTTTCAAGTACGTTAAAATTCACAGCACAAGTCACTTTGCTTTGGAAATTAACATACTTTAGAGCATCTGAAACAATTCCCAGCAGTTGTTTCTTGCATATTGTGTTGGTTGTGTGTGAGACAGCAAATGAGTTAAATTGAGTGTTAAATGTGCAGGATTGTGCACCAAATGATTATAATATTGATTTTTAAAACTTAATCTAATACTTTTTTAATAGTTCATAATACCAACAGCAATAAAACACAGTGTTTGTTTGGAGTTTGAAATTTAGAGTTTTTAACTTAATAATAAGAGGATAATACCAGAAAGATGTGGAGATGACTTTGGGGAGGATTGGGAGCAGGAGCCGATTGTTTGGTGGAAGCTATTTGTGGGTTTGTAGAGGAGTGGATTTGAGTCTGGAGGTCTTATGAATGAGCTCTCCATGGGGGGAAATGATGAATCTTAACTTTAGGTAAGCATCTTTTCACGTTTAAGTTTACATTTGAATTTTAGTCAGTACAGTAACACCACAATTTTTCCAGTAGAACAAAACCCTCTTAAATCTTTAAAGGAGGTTGAAAGAGCTCTTTAACTGTTTGTTACCGGTTTCTCCCTCAGCCTGTAATAATGGTGTTATTCCTCACATGTATGTTTATTAAATAATTCCACATCCCTCCGAGAAAGTTGCTATCCCGTTGTGCAGCTTTAATGTTGTCTGTAATACTAAAATGTGCTTGTGTGTAGATGTCTGCCCACTTTATTAGTACAGACTATGTAAGTGATGATTTCTCCCTTTGCAACATTTTTGCCTCAGCATTCCACAAGCAGGACCAGCATATATAGAGTCTTTTTGGACAGCCTTAAGTCATAATTGAGAGATGTAGGGTGTGTTATTAAAATTTTTAATGCTTTTATTTTCAAAACAGGCTTTCTGTCAAATTGATATTTTAGTGTGTGTATACACACATACTCTTAGATATGAAGATAAGAATAAAACACTTTAATTTTAAGGGGTTAATTTTTGAGCTGAATCTGAACTGAATTTGTTTAACCTGACTACTCCCCTTTACGTACATGTTAGGTACCCCGGGAAAACTACACGAAACTTTGTGATGTAATTTTCACATCTCAGTTATTCAGTTCATCTGGAGGTTGGCTAAGAGCAGGAGCCAGGAGCCCACTGTTCCCTCACTACTACCTCCGCCCCCACATACCGCCTCCTGTGCTTACCGCAGACTTAGCTGTCATTAAAATGATGACTGGCAAGGATGGGGGTGGTGTTGGCACTGTCCCAGTGCCCTTATTTTGCTCGATGGCTGAGTTTTGAATTTTTAAAATCCCCTTTTTCAGGTTCCTTTTTCTCAGTCCCATCTAAAGCAGGAAAAAAAATAATAGAGCCAGTTTAATTATAATCTAATTTTATAAACTAATGCTGTTCTGGAATATTAATAGCTGATATGTGTCACAATTGCAATATACTGAATATGTATAGTAAACTAGGTGAGAATAAGAAAAGGATCAGGGGGAGGGGTATGGATAGGTACCCATTTTTCTTGTCCCTTAAGTCATAAACTATAGAGAAGGCAGGTCCTGGGGATTATGACTTAGGTTCTAAGGTTCTATGCTCCTTTTGAACAGACACAATATGATCTATTCTTGATCCTCTACTGTCATGCACACATGTACCCATGGATGCAGACTATGGGATGGGTACATTCTTGGATTATTGTGTAGCAATATGATCTTAGCCAAATTATTTAAACTCTTTGTCCCTCTGTTTCTCTCCTATAAAATTGGTACTTGGGATAGTTGTGAGTGTAGTTGCTTATTACTGTGTCAGGCATGTGGTAAATGTTCAACAAATGTAGTTCAAGCTCAATAAATGCTAGTTACTACCATCATCATCATTATCTTATTTTTGTTATTATTTTGATTCACTGATAGAAAAATCCTCCCTAGCTGACAATATTCTTGGTTAATGAGAATTTTCTGAAGTTGATTATCTATGTATGACCACCAGTTAAGAAGATTTTATCAAACTTATTTTTTATAAATTATATTACTAACATTTTTGTTTCCTATATATATGTATTTGTAAAATTTTATTGAATATGCCTTTTAAACTATTTCCTATTTTCTTTCCCCTGTTGAGAATTGCTGGTTTAGTTTATAAATCTGGAGTCATTATACATTGTTTATTCAGTAATAAACACTGAATTTATTATGTCTTTTACTTTATCACTTTTAGTAGACTGTTTAATAATTACCTTTTCCCCTTTCTTCTGTAAAAGATAGGCTCTTATTTGGAAAGCTGCTTTGGGAGTCTGATTTTTGTCTAGGTTACATTGCTTTGATTGCTGAAAAGCCATGAAGTTCTTTTTATGCTAAGTATTACATTTTCTGTCCAGTCCACCACTTTATTTAATATAATGATTTCACTATACTTGTACATGAGTCTGTAAATCAGAAGTCTATTCCAGATTTATCCATAATCAGGTACTAGTAAGTATCATGCTTAAAAAAAAAAAGAAAAAAGAAAACCCTCCTGTGGCTAGATCCATGGGAATCTGATGAGCTTTAATGCCTCTGAAAAATGAATCTACAAGGTGTTATTTAATCATGTAAAATGAATTAGTGTGAAAATTGAATGTTCCAGTTTGGCTACTCCTGTGCGATCGATCCTGTTTGGAACTAGAGAAAGACATTGCTTTCAAGAAAGAATCTTTGGAATATTAGAAGAATTTGATAATCATGTAATCTTTTAGTATAATAAAATCTGGGAATGCATTTATTTGGGTAGAAATTCCATAATTTTGGAAACTATTTGATTTTTAAAATTCTTATTTATATGCCTTTGAACTTGGCAACTTTCTTGAAATTTGTCACTAAATGTTACCCCAGAATGGTACCCACAGTCTTTGAGTAACATTTGTTACTTTCTCTGTGACTTAAAGAAGACATTTCTCTGGTCTCTGATACCTTATAGGTAGTCAAATAAATTATTATTTTTATAAACTATTAGTATTTTCTATAATCTAGAATAAATTATTCATAGCTTTTTGTCTATAGCCAGTTGGTGCTCATATTTAAAAGCTGGTTTTCAAAGTGCATTAAAGTCAGTATGATTCATAATAGAAAAACTCGGTTGCCTGCTCTTCTATTGTAGAGGCTCTAGCAACACTCAAAATGGCCTTGGATCTGAAGCAAACTCCTTCTAGGATCGCAGTCACCCGCCTGATTCAGGCGTGTGCTTTGAAGGGGGATTTAGAAGGCACACAAGCAATTCAGAAGATGGTAAATGGACTCGAAGATTCAATTGGACTTTCAAATATGGTTTTCATCAATAACATTGCTTTGGCACAAATAAAGAAGTGAGTATTTTTAAGCTTTCTTTTTCTCCAGTGGATACTGGAAAGAGCATTATCTCTAATACCAGCTGTTAAAACTTCCTAAAGCTATTAGAAACCATACTATTAGGGAATAAGTTATTGTTATATGTTATAAATTAAATCTTAGCTTTGAATTAAATCTTAGAATAAAGAACATTTATCAGATTTTTCAAATTCGTAAAATTTGTTCTGTAGTTAGTAACTTTTCTCATTCATATAGGCCAGTCCCTTGTTGTGGAAACACTTGGTTACAGAGTGAAAAAAGCAAGTTCATTGATTGTCAGCAACACTGAGGGCAATGCTCCGCTAGAACATTGTGAAGCAGAGGGCCCAGCAAGCTTTTCAGAACTAGGAAGCTTTGTTCTATCCACCCTCCTGTCCACCTAGCCCTGGCATCACACACCCACAGAGAGGGAGCTACGTAGAGGTGATTCTCTTCACCACCACCTCTAGGTTCCTTGTCAAGCGTCACGACTGTAGACAGAAATAAGAACTTGACTTTTCTCAACTTTGGTCAAGTTAAAGATTCATGGAGATAATTACAGAATTGACCCTGTTCAGGCCTTTAGAAAAATATATTCTTAAGTATTTAATCTTACATACATTTAATGGGTTGTGATACTAAAATGTAATGTTTGTGTTTTTTGTCTGTTTCTATTTCTTTGGGCAGAGAAAAAGTAGTGTTTTGTTTTTCCTTTTAAAACTATTTCCCCAAATAGAACTTTTTACTTTCCCTTTAATGAGAAAATGTGATTATGTTAAGTTGGAAGATCAAGGAAATTATCTAAGAGCTGGATGAATTTTTAAATGTTATCATATAAACACAGTTTTTTAATAAGATGTGGAGAATATGTTTTTCCTAACTAAAACCCATAAGAAAAATTTATTGTAATGGAGTATTCATATTTAGTTAAGGAATTATTATGTTTTAGGTAAATAATTTCAACATGAAATTGATTATTTGGATTTGGAATGCCATAAATGTAAAGTAGCAACTAAAGAGCACATTAATCAACAAGTTGTAAAGATAATTTTTATTGTAACTTGTTAAGTAAAGCCATGTGATTCACTTTTTAATGTAAATGTGAAGATACTTCGTTCTGAAAAGTTTAGTATAAATTGAATATTTTTCAAATGTTCTGTAGTACCTGACAGAAAAAATTGTAGTGACTGGGTTGACAGACTTGAAAATACACCTTTTAAAGACATAATTAGTATTTTTAAGAATCCTGAGATGGTATATAGTCTCTTTACTTCATCCAGTAGTGACCGTTGTAGATTATAAAGCCAAAGTTGTAGCACTTTTACTTTACATCTAAAGAGCTGCAAAATGAAGTTAAATGCTTACAATATTTTTATCATCATTAGTGTTTCTGTGTATATAGTTGTTTGATTTTTATCTGTAGAGCAGTGTTTTAAATAAGCAACTACTTCACTTATTGTAGCATAAAATTCTGCTACGTAATTGTAATCCAGTTCAACTGGCCTGGTGTTTTTTATCTGGTTAATTGTGAATGTATCTCCCTTTTTTCCTAAAGCATTTGCATGTGTGAATCCCAAGTAAGTTCTCAAACGAAAACTGTCTGCACTACTAATACAAGAGCAAATATTTCTTTATAATTTATTTTACTTTTACAGCAATAACATAGATGTTGCCATAGAAAACATTGAAAATATGCTTACTTCGGGGAATCAGACTGTGGAAACCCAATACTTTGGTTTGGCGTACTTATTCAGAAAAGTAATAGAGGAGCAGTTGGAACCAGCCCTTGAAAAGAGTAAGTTAGCTGTTCTTGTTAAAATAATCAGAAGCACATTTTCTCTCCAGTGAGACTGGACCACATTTCTTCGGTAGATGATTTAAACAAAAGATTTTTCTTACCTTTCACTTTTTTTAGTAAGCATCATGGCAGAGAGATTGGCCAATCAGTTTGCAGTGTACAAACCAGTCACCGACCTTTTCCTTCAGCTCGTGGATGCAGGCAAGGTGGATGACGCCAGAGCTCTCCTGCAGGTAATGGCCCACCGCACACAGAGCCGTAGGGCTGGTGGCTAGTGAGAGGTAAACTGAGAAATTACTTAAGTGTGTGCTAGAATATTAGAAATGAAGTGTAGTGCTGCTGGCACATTTAAGTCCGTTGCAATTAAGGTTGCATGATAAGGACTGGATTGTAAATTGTAGGTTGCTGGTTTTAAACATGCCAAATCAGACAAGAAATGTCCTTCGATTTAGTGGGGAAGGGACAAGAGGGAAGAACTTCTTTTGCTGAAACGATTTAAAAACAAATATTTCTGTGCAGATAGGTAATGCAAAACAATTCCTTTGATTTCCTACTTTAATTTCTCTAATGCTGTAAATATTGTGTATCACCATGGCAACACAGTTTGCAAACAAAAAGTAGGAAATGTTTCCTTTTCAAGTACAGCTTCGCACTTGAATACTCAAACATTCTCAGTGCCTCATTCAAGGTTTATTAAGAGTTGAATTTGCTTTCTATTCACTTGTGTGTCACAGACACATTAAATGACAAATGCAGGTCTCTGTGGCCCGCACTCTCAGTTAAATTAGCAATCTTCAGGGAAGGAGACAACTGCATTCATGCTATTTTAACAGCACTAAATATAAAGCTACTCCAAGTGCCAAACCGGTGGGTGATCAGAGCTGCCACTGGCAATGTACACAAACAGGCACCACCAGGGAGCCCCTTCCCAGCAGGTGGCAGTCAAACAGTCACCGTGATCCTGCCAGCGGCTGTGTTTGTGTAGACTCCCTGTGTCAAGTTGAGGTCTGGGACCAATTTCTGATAGTAAATAGTATTATATTCACTTACATTTTTATGAGCTGTGAAACATTGTACGTAGTAGATAGGGATGATAAAACTACCCGTTTGCCTGAGCCCAGGTTTTGATCCTTAAAGTTCATCTAGTCTGACAGTAGAATCCAAGCCATTTTTAAAAGGCATGCGTGGGAAATATCTCTCTGTTAACAGTTTTGTAAAAAGTGTAAATTGGCACTGTCTCTAAGGCTTTTGTATTTTTGCTTCTGGACAGAAAAGTATTAATTGGAAATTTTTTTTTGTTTCTTTACCTTTAAAAAAACATAACAGAAAAGACAGTTTATGACAGCTAGGGATTTCACCAATTTTTTTTATTTTGCTGCCTTTGGTGTTTTAAGCTCTGTCTTGAAATAAACTCTAATGCTTTATCTTTGTACATATCTAAGTGTACCTACTAGGGATATATGCATATCTAATTATACATGTGGTAGTATTCATACAATTTTAACACATTATTTTAATGGTTCTTTCGAAAGGTGGCACCTGATACTCCTCTAGCGCCTTGGTCTGAGCTGGACTCTTTCAGGGCTCCTCTTAGTGCAGCTGACAGCAGCCTGGGGTGGGAGACGCAGGGGCCTTGCCTGCTGCCCTCAGGGCTGCATTGATGGCCTGTCAGGGGCCCTTGGTCACAGCTGAGTGTTGATAGAACAAGCAGCACTCTTCTCGGTTTCACGTCTTCAGTAGACTGAGGTTTCAAGTAATAAACGCTTTACCCATCCTCTACCTGCCTGTCAGGCAGTAAAAGGTTATTCTCACTGTGCTGAAGAATGCTTTAGTCACAGATGTCGAAAACATCAGTTTATAATGTAAATGTTCTGTGTGTCCCCAAAAGTTCTTTTTATATTATTCGTTTTAGTATTGACACTGTTTTAAAGCTTTGAAAGAGGATTGTGCTTTTTGGAAACTTAAGGAATGACATCTACGAAGAGTGTAAACTAAAATATTGTCTTGCCATATTTGATTTTACTATAGGATCTAAGATTGGATAGACACTTGATTTATCTGGTCTGTCATATAAACTTTTTTTTTTTTGAGTTTAACTTTTGTCTCTTTCCCTAGCACTAGCTGTCTTTTGCAATGAAAGCCTTTTATAAAATAGGGAGATTGAAATCAGTCCTTTTGTATGCATAAGTGTAGGTAATTATACTTTAAAGAGAACGTGCTTTGTACATTTTAATTTTTATAAAGAAACGAGCAGTTATCTCCCTGACACCTTATTAAATGTATAATTAACCTTATGATCCCTAGCTCACTTGTGAATGCTTGGCAGTATAATTGGAGAGGAATAGTGTTTCTTTTTTTCCTCTTTCTTTGCAGTCCTAAACCTTATTCTGTGGTTGTTGAAGCATTAGTTTAAATTTTCCCTTGTCTTTTTAAACAAACTTCATACTTGAAACACCAAGGACAGCATTCAAAAAAGCTTGACATAGCTTGCACTTGTTTTCTTTTTTCTTGCCTTAAAAAAAATTGGTCAACTCTTAGGCCCTCCTATTAGTAATAATACATTACTGTATTATTGTGAACTTTCTTAATTGGAAATACTCACCTTGGTCTGCTTGTTTATCAGAAATCTTCACTTACTGAATAATGTTTTAATTTTTAGAGATGTGGAGCAATTGCTGAACAAACCCCAATTTTCTTCGTGTTCTGTATAAGGAGTTCTCAGAGACCGGGAAAGGTACTGTGCTTAACTTGCTGACAAATCAATGAGGCTATAAGCCAAAAAGATACAAGTATCACAGAAAAACTTACTGATTCAAGACCTGTCTGTACTTATCTTTACTTTTCTGTACTTGATAGAAAGTCAGTTCTGGCTCCTTAGTTGTACTGGAGGTGCAAAACAAGTTCACGCAGTGAATTCACCATGCACATAGTTACGCATTAAGAGCCCAAGAAGGGGCCCTGAGAAATGGAAGATGAAAATCCTGTTGCTTAGGTCACTTGGTACAGGTAACAGTGCAGAAGCGCTCCTCCCATTAGGTGGCTATTTTTAACCATTTATCAGCTGTAAACCATTGGAGATGTTAACCATTTGGCCTTAAAACTGGTAAGTGCCAGGGATTAATGTACACTTACTTTATAAACACTAAAAGATGCATGTGTGGTATGTAAAACAGAACAAAATCCTATTTTTGATGTTAAAAAGAATAAAAGCATATTTCCAAAAATAGTTATTTAGATCTGATTATACTGGTTAAGCACCAGGACCCCCATTCTTCGTTTATTTGGGCACATTATGAAGTTTCAAACTGAGCACCAATTATAATGTTTGTTTTATTGTGAAACATTGAAGTTGTTTCCAGTCTGGGAAGTCTAAGTTTTAATTCCTACGTACTTCACACACACATAAACACACTTAAAACAATTTGTTTTTACCTAATTGCAAACTTTATTTCTGGCTCGTGTATTTTTTACAGAAAGGGACTTTTTGAAAATATTGAGTTGCCCTTTTTTTTCCTTTCAAAGAGACTAATTTTTAAAAATTGGTGATTAAAAAGTTTAAGAAATCTAAAAAGCGCTGGTCACTTCACATATGGGGCTATGCCAAGTAAAGCACCTCCTTACCTTGCTCTTAAGATGGAACGGGAAATGTACCAACATTCCTCCCTGGAGACTTCACATCACAGCAAGTTCGTGAGAGGTGCAGGTGCAGGTGTAGGTTGAATAAACATGCTAAAAAGTGATTTCAGATTTTTAAAAATTCCAGTTATAGGGCCTGCATGTTTGACAGAATAATTAAGCCAGATTTAGCTTCTTTTGGTGAGATGGAAAGAGGGCATAAAGCTATCTAAAATCTACCTTTGCTTTATCCAGCAATGTTGAAGTGTTTGGAAATATTCAGTGGTTAGTTACTAGGGTGCAGCACTTCTCGATTTACCTCAGGAATTGAAAACTGAAAGCAGTCAAGTAAAAATTCCAGTGAGACCTGCAAATGCTCTGTTTATATATCAAGTAGGGAAAACTTCAGAATGTTTGGCTGAATTTATCACATTTCACCAAGAAATTTTGGAAGTGAAAGAAACAGTTATTATCTCTTCTACTTTTGGGGATCTTGTAACTTCTTGCTGTGGCTACCAACTGACAAAAGAAACCATCTTTGTAACATTTTAGGAAAATATTCATGGAAATGTAAATGGGAGTGTATTAACTTGAAAAATACTTGTTCATTTTGTCTGTAAATTGTTAAATCAACATCAAATACTGAGGTACAGCCATACCTCATTTTATTGCATTTTGCTTAATTGACACTTAATAGATGTTGCTTTTTTCCTTTCCTTTTTTTTTTTTTTTTTTTTTTTTACCAAATTGAAGGCAAAAAGGTGTACGGTGCACCTGCACCTGCACCATCCACCAGGAAAAAAAATAAAAAAATTAAAGAAATTAAAAAACCACGACTTGCTTTATTACAATACTTGCTTTCCCTCAATTTTCTGGAACTATAGTATCTCTGAGGTATGCCTGCATACAGAAGGGGAAATAGTCCATTAAATTAAGTAGGCAGTTTTATTATGATTATTGTCAAGATTTTGTGATATAGTGTCTGTATATCAGTGTTGCATTTCACAGTATTTTGACCTGTATTTTGATTCCTTAGGCACAAACATTGAAATCTTTGTTAGAATTGATTCCTGAATTAAGTGAAAAGGAAGAAGCATACAGTTTCATCATGAAAAGCTATGGTAATAAGTGTAATCTGTCTATATTATTTAAGTGATTTAAATATTTGTACTGTAGTCAACTAAATCTTCAGCCCAAAGGTAATAATCCTAAATGTTAAGTAATTATATATATTTTAAAAAAATATTTCATTTATTTATTTTCATTTATTTATTTTTAGAGAGAGGAGGAGGGAGAAAGAGAGGGAAAGACACATCAATGTATGGTTGCCTCTAGCGTGCCTCCCACTAGACCTGGCCTGCAACCCAGGAATGTGTCCTGACTGGGAATCAAACCAGCAACCCTTTGGTTTGCAGGCCAGCGCTCAATCCACTGAGCTATACCAACCAGGGCTTATATGAGTTATTTATTTAGCTTTAGAATGTTTACAAACTGTAAGAAAAATATGAAACTGTTTATATACCTTGAACATAAAACAAGTATCACCAAGCCTTTTGAGAGTGGCCCTTGTGTGTTAAGCAGCATTCCAGGCCCCTGGAAAGAGTTGCAAGTCCACTTGAGTATACATACTGGGAACAATCCAGTCTCCCCAGGACCCTGCCACCTGGAACATTACATGAAATAGGTGTATACTTGTCGTCTTGCTCCTTCAGTACCCTGCCTGCCTTCTTAGGCCTTTAAATTAACAGGCCCTTAACTAAAAAGTGGGCTCCCGAATATTAAGTCACAGTTGAAATTCCCATCTTTTAAGCAGTTTCTTCCCTGATTGCCACTCACCACATATGAGAGGGAACCAATCTAAAATTTCCTCAGTGATCAAGATTAATTTAGTGTTTCTAAGTTTTGATCCCTGTCCATCGGCCACCCACTGAGTTGCTCACTTTAGGCAAGGGGTAAATAAAGAATTGCTTTTTTGATTTTATTGTTGGCAAGACAACAGACTGCAATCAGAATTAGTAAATTAGTTCTCCACTTTTCTACCCTTGTCTGGGGAATGTGATGTATGAGGTCTGTCCAGAAAGTGTCCAGCCATGTAATAAAAAGAGACATTTTTTGAAGACAAAAGAAACACTGCACATAGGACAATGACACCTCAGTCCCCTTCAAAGTAGGCATCTTGGCACCTCATACACTTCTCCCAATTGCTATCAGCTGCCCCTAGTATTTTGAATCTCGTCAATGGTCTGAAATCTCTTGCCTTTCAAAGGTGATTTTAGTTTTCTAAAAGCCAGAAGTTGCAGAATGCCAATCTGAGCTTTAGAGGGGCTGGGTCACCTCGGTGATTGGATGTTTTTCCAAAAAACTGCACAAAACGTGCTGCATGAGGGGACACATTGTTGCGATGAAGCTGCCAATCACCAGTCATAGCTGCAGCCTTCTGAATCATCCAAATAGTTTCCGCAGAGGAATGTTCAAGCTTAACAGAAAATTTTGATGAGCATTCATTGCTCTACTCAGTCATTTTGACAGCATCCACCACACAGTACACATGCTCATTCAGCAGCATCTACTGCCCCCACTGACTAGTACAGTGAAGTCGTCCTTGTTCATGCAGGCACGTTACAGCCCACTCTACTTGGCTGCCAGGTTACATTGATATTGCTCAAACTGTTCTCATTAATATTAGCAGTGGCTGGGCTTTTCCCGGACAGACCTCATCGTATTTCCAAACATTGCTATAATCATAAAACTCAAAATTCCATGTGGGGAACTGACAGATTAAATAGTAACTAACATGAAATGGGGTCAAATGGCCAAAAACTACTAAATTGTGTAATCCCACTTGGGAATTGGGAGGGCGAGGAGCAGAGAGATCAGGAAGTGGTGAAGGGAACATGGGAGAGTTTTCTGAGCAGCACCTGGAAGATGGTAGCTTCCGAGCTGAGCCCCTGGCAGTGTCAGGATTGACACAGGAAATTGAATTCACCCAACCAACAACCCACAGGGAGCTGTTCATCCCCAGAGGCATCCATCCTCGCTCCCTAATGCAGGAGGAAATCTTGCATTAATTCCTCAGCTTCTCACATCCACCCTAGAGGCTCATCCTGGTGCTGCTACAGTTGGGACTGATCATAGAACATCAGTGTAGGCTAAGGGGGTTATTAGGTGCTTAGATAATTAACAATTACCAACAGTAGCAGAGCTGCTGTAATCTTCGCAGTAAACTTAAAAAGAAAACTTCCACAAATCAGCCTTAGTGGAGAGCTAGCTAAACCTAGCTCCTAGATACTCCGTCATCCATTTAAGTGAAATATTAGTGTAACTTGTTAATATTATATAGATGTATATAGACTTTTATGTATATTAATTTCATATGCATTTTTTTTGTCATAGCTAACATTCCTCATATTTGCTTATTTTATAATAGAAGAATGTATTGAAAGTTCTCTTGGTGTGGTTTAGCTGATGATCTTGATATTGATGTAGATAAAAATTTCTACATAATTTATGTGCCCCTCACCACAAAATTCTGGAATTAACTCAATTTCATAGTGTGATTTTATGCAGAAGAGAGTTGAATGGCGTGTGCTTACCCTGTGGTTGAGGGACTTCAGTTTGTGGTCACTTTTATAATCATGGACCTTTTAAAATAGTCTTATCTGTCATTTTCTTTTCTTTCATGGTGACTAACACTGAATGAGGTGTGGGGAAGGAGTGAGGGAGCTTGTAGATTCTGAATGCGGCTTTTCGCTAAAAGTAGTTAAGTGTTCATTTGCCTTGGGATAAAGGGATCCAGAGTCCTTGAATAGCTAAGTGTTTTGGGAAAACAGGAAGATGAGTTGTCTTTATCTATGATTAATTAGTATCTTTTTCTTCAGTGTTGGACAGTGATGTCTCGTCTGCTAAAGTACTGTATGAAAACTTGACTGCAAAGAATGTAAAATTGGATAATCTGTTTCTCAAGCGTTACGCAGTTTTGCTGAAGAAGGCTGGAGAGTCTGTCCCTTTCACTGAACCCCCTGTGAGTATTTCTTAATTAAGGGGAAAAAGATTACCTCCACATATTTGTGTATGCTTCACAACAATGTGTGCAAAAAATAAGTTGAATACTTAATTACATGAGGATTAGATCTCTGTGAAGAACCCTCAGGGGACAGTTTCAGGAACTGAACCCTCATGCCTTGGCTGTGGGTGGGGGAGGGCATAGCTCTGTGGGACTGAGGTTTAAAATACAAAGTCAGTTTCAGACCTTCACCTATAGGTATGAGTTTATCAAATGTCCTTGGGGTGGCTTTCTCATCATCTCAACTGGAAATAGGATTTAATAACCTATATTTCAATAGCCAAGCATATTATGATACTATAATTGCTTATTTATTTTAAATAAGTTTGTTTTTATTTCTTCATCTAGGAAATTTTTTATTGAGGTTTAATTGACATATTTCAATTAGTACAGTGTAATGATTTGATATTTGTATATATTACAAAATGACACCACAATAAGTCCAGTTGACATCCATCACCTTACCTAGGAATGAAATTTTTTTCTTGTGATAAAGACTTCTAATCACTCTGCTAGCTACTTTCAAATATACAGTACAGTATCATTAACTACTAATCACCGTGCTGTATATTACATCCCCATGACTTACTGGTTTTATAACTGGAAATTTGTTCCTTTTGACCCCTTTCACCCATTTCACTCACCATCCCCCTCAGGCAACCAGCAGCCTGTTCTCTGTATTTGTGAGCTCGGTTTTGTGTTTTGTTTTTTAGATTCCACATATAAGTGAGATATATAGTGTTTATCTTTTTCTGTCTGAGTTATTCACTTAGCATAATGCCCTCAAGGTCCATTTGTGTTGTAGCAAATGGCAAGATTTCTTTCTTTTTATGGTTGAATAATATTCCTCTGTGTATGTGTAGTGCATCTTTTCTATCCATTCGTCCATTGACGGACAGTTGTTGCCATGCCTCGGCTATTGCAAATAATGCTGTAGTGAACATGAGGTTGCACGTATCTCCCGAATTAGGGTTTTTGTTTTCTTTGAATAAATACCCATGGAATTGCTGGGTCATATGGGAGTTCTATTTTTAAATTTTTGAGGAACCTCCATACTGTTTTCCACAATAACTATACCAGTTTGCATCCCTAGAAACAGTGCATGGGGTTCCTCTTTCTTCACAGCCTTGCCAGCACTTGCCTTTTATCGCAGCCATTCTGGCAGGTGTGAGGTGGCATGCATTTCCCTGATGGTTAGTGACAGTGAGCATCGTTCCTTGTATCTGTTGGCATCTGTATGTCTTTGTTGGAAAAATGTCTATTTGGATCTTCTGACCATTTTTTAGAGGGTTTTTTTTTTTTTTATCGATTTGTATGTGTTCCTTCATATTTTAAATATTAACCCCTTCTTAGGTGTATGATTTTCAGATAATTTCTACCATTTATTCAGTAGGCTGCCTAGAAAGTTTTGTTTAATCATTGTATTTAACAAAGAGGAATCACACATGCAGAATTTCTTTTTACTGTGTCATTAAACTGTATGTCACTACACCATGTGTACCTTCCATACCCAGTTATAAATACCTACACGCACATGCACACGCACACACACAAGCTCCTGGTGCTAGCACTAACTCGGACTGAAATCGGGGCCCTCGAACAGGCGGTTTCGGGGAACATCAAGGAGTACTAAAGCTTGAGAGCGCATGGCTGCAGTGGGCCCAGCAGTCTTTGCTGCCTGTTTGCAATATTTTGTGATTTTTAAGTTTTGTACTATCATCTCTTGCTAGTAATTTTATCTTACCTTCCCTCCCTTTTTGTCTCCTTAACAGGAAAGCTTTGAATTTTATGCAAAGCAGCTAAAGGAATTAAGGGAAAACCCTTTGTGAAACAAGCAGGCACTACTTTGTTTTGTGTGTATTTGTGATTCTGTATCTAAAGTGTTATTTTTTAAATGTATTTGAAAGGACAAAAACAAATAAATGAAAAATTACTCTGTTTATGTGCTTGTATTTATTTGTAATAGAGAATATGATATACTCAAAAGCTTATTGACAATAACTATGTGTACTTGGTCACCAGAATTTTTGAGTTTTGCGTATAATATAAATCTGTGGCATTCTCTCTGGGGCTCCTGGTATATGAAGCCGTAATTTTTCAGTCTTCTCCCAATGATTCTTCAAGTCCTGTACTTAATTTTATTTATTATTTTCATAAAAAGTTATTTCTTTACTTAAGACTTGCTTGTTAATATTGTTCATCTGAAAAGTTTTGAAACTGGACAAAGTGATGTTCAATGAGCTTTCTAATGTTTACTATTCTGTGACATATCAATTCTTTATAGAGTGTGAAGCCCTGCGTAATTTTCCAGTTTTGTCAAGTGTTGGCACTGGAAGGCATCTTTAGTAGTCATCAAATCCAGTGCTCATGATTTTCCAGCAAGAAGCAGAGACTCAAGGGGCCTGTCGGGGTTCTGTTTGCCAACACTGGAGGTTCCTCACCTTACTTTACCTTCTACCACAGGGGCTTCCGGTAGCCTCCATTCACAGAAACCTCTGGAACTGAGCCTGAGTCATGACTTAAATCGTGAAATAGAGCAAGGCATTTCCACCCATTTTGGTTTCAGGTCTTTGTAGGCACAAAATACATCCACACTGGGCTTGTTACTTTGTACTCATATTCTATAAACATATGATTTAACATACAACAGAGTGAAATCTTGGTTTGTATTCAGGTTTTTCCAAATTATCTCCAAACTGGCTTTTATGCCTGTCACTGTCTACTGTATAAGTGGAAACTATAAAGAATTTAAGATGGTAGTCTAAACAGTTTGCCATTACAAAGGTATGGGGATTAGGCAATTAATTACTGAAGAAGTGGAAAATGTTTTATTTGAGAATTATCCCCATTTTGTTAAATTCCTTGTCTGTGTGAATGAAATTGTGGACTACCTCCTGTTTTGACAACTTACTTGGTCCCACTGTTTACACGAGGGGGCAGCCTTGCATTGGGGAAGTAAGCTGGCCTTGGCTGCTTGAGCTGCTAACCTGTGTCTTGTGGGACCAGCCTCCTGCACCCGGAGCCTACAGACGGATTGAGAGGGAGGGATGATGGAGGAAAGCCAAGAAATAACTGTTACGGCATTGGCCGTGCTTTTCTTCATCTTTTTTGTAGAGTTAGACCTAAGGGATCGGGCCCGGCTGGTTCCCAGCCCTGCCCGCAGGACCGACTGCCGCTTTCCTGTGTGCGCCCCTCAGCACCGGACCTGCGCCTGTTGGAGTTAACGATAGTGTCTGATTTGCCACGAGCCTCCCTCCAGTAGTGATTCCACTGAGGCAGACCTTGTTTTCTGCAGTTGTGCTCATAGTTGAGCTATGTTTTATTAGTGTTCATTAACCTAAGTTTCTAAAAGGAGCCATAACCTTAGGGCATAGTCTGGGCTTTGCATCTGTGGGGAAACTGAGAGCACAATCTCAGCAACATGGAGTGACTCCAAGCCATCGCCGTATGTTGACTCTGATAAACGTGGGTGTAATACAGAGGAAATGGGTACAGATCCTCAGCCAGCATTCTAAACATTGGGTCATTAAACATGGGGTGTGTATTAACAAAGGACTACATTGTCATGTATCTTTAGCACTGAGTGGTTTTCCATTTTGTATTTAAAATTTAATAACTGTATATTCTAGGTGAGCTTATGAATGCTTTCTAAATATCTACCCGTGAAATTGAAATAAATAGAACTACAGAGTAAATACAACTACAGCAACACTTAATCACACATTTTAGACTCAAAGCAAACAGCTAATTGTAAAAAGTAAATGTCATTGTAAACTTTTGGAAACTAGTGTTTCATATATATATTGAACATCCATGTATTTGAACCTAATATAATTTTAATGTGAAATGTTTCAAATAAATTGTATTCCAAAAACCTGTGGGCTTCTTTTTATCTTGGCAAACCGCTTTTAGCCAACTCAAGGATTTTACTCTTGAAATTTTGAATTAGAAATTTGGTGACCTCTGGTGTTACCAGCCTTTCCTTGGCGTCCATTTGTGTGGAGAACCAGTGAAGTCACTTCCTGTCTGTTAAGGACAAGCAGACAGCTAATTTGAGATCCCTGGGTACAAAGTTGGCAAGAATTAGTAGGGTTGGATATATGATAAATTAACACTTAAAATGTAAGGGGCTTTATCTTGAAGTGTCAGAGCGGGAGTGTTTTACAGCTGCTTAAATGACTCAGATCCACCCCCGGGCGCTGTCTTCTGCGCACCTTTCCTCTCTGCCCTCACCCTAATTCCTTTCTCCTGAATGCATCCTAGGCTGGCATCAGTGTCACCTCTGCCACTTTCTTGGGTCCTCTCTCCACCTGGCAGATTAATTTTTCTCTCTCCAGGGCTCCTGAAGCCAGTGAAAGTGAGCAAGTATTACCCAGGTTGTGAACTCCCTGAGGACCAGTTATTGTTACATGTTTGTGTCCCCAGGCCAAGCACAAGCCTGGCTTTGAGTTCAGGGTAAATCCAGTTGCCTGTAGTCGGTTCTATGGCCTCTTCGTAGCTAACACCGAATGTGCACTATCATGTGCCAGGCACCTGTCTTGCCTTATATTCCGGGCAAGAAAACATGGACTTAAAAGAAGTTAATATGCCCAGAATCACAGTTATGTATCAATGGCTAGTACTCTGACTAGTCATTTAGTTACTATGAGAATACAATAAGCAGTCCAGCTAAAAGTAAAACTGGAATCTCTAAGAGCAGTCTATTTTAAACTTCACAAGTGTTCTCAGTCTCTGGACAGCTTACACTGTAGTTATTTTCTTCCATTTAATCAAATACCCATTGCCTGGCATAATCGCAGAGTCTGCAAATTCCAGTAAATTATTAAGCAAGCTTTATTGTGCAAATTGTTCTTCCCGGTACAATTTATTTCTGAAGCCTGCAATGACTGAACTGCACACTTTTTTTCATGTCTTTGAGCACAATTTTCATTTAATATTTGTTTTTATGACAAAACAATATTTGTAGAGTTTTTATAAGTGGAGGCAACATTCCTGAAGTATGGTGGAATTCACAGCAGCAGGAGGTACAAAATCATGGTAATTTATTGCTTTACTGTTGTACAGCCATGCACACGAGTGTTTCCATTAGAAGTGCATCCTGGGGACTTTACAAAGCCCATATTATGCAGCCTTAGTCCAAATAAAAGAAATGGCATTAGCAAATTCAAAATAGGCACTTATCTTTTTCTTTGCATAGAAGAAAAGAAACATTGTGTGCAGGTAGAGCAAAAACCTTAAACCAATCTCAGGCTGAGGGCCGGGCACATTGTCTGGACAGTGGTCTGCTCTCGGGTCCAGGCTTGACGGTTCTGTCGTAAGTGGTATCCCAGCCCTGCCCCAGGTGTGCACCTGCTGAAATTCTCTGCATTATTTCCCTGCCTTTGCCGTGTCCTCCCCAAGAACGTGACCAACCAGTGAGAATGGAGCTTGTCACTGGTGCAGGCCCTGTAAGCGTCCTTGAGGGAATCAATGGGCATGACACCTCTTTCCAAGTCGTTTTTTTAATGAGATGCATGGTTTGTGTGCATTGGAGGGTTTTCTCACACACTTCTTTTCACGAGAGATCAAAAATGACACTTCATAGCTCAGAGTGTGGATATTGGGGGTTGAGGCCCAAGAAGTCTTTTAAAGCTGTGTTCTCACATGTAAACAGTTGAGTGCTGTGAGAAGGAGGGCTCTCTGCCATGAGATGAGGGTCAAGATCACCTCTGCTGAGCACAAGCCCAGCACAAGAGTGAATCGACAACAAAATTCTATTTTTAACATAGGGCAGAAGAGCTTTTCAGCAGTTTGGGGAAACAAGGAATACCTTCAATTTTACAAAAAGGCAAGACCACCATACCAACAATAAATGTGAGCACTATTCCACAGAAAGCTGGTGTTAACTAACTGTGGAGTTGATGTGTGTTTGAAAATCTCAACCCAGAGCTTGAAACATTACTGTTTTAATTATTAGCTGCTAACATCACGTGCTCTGCCGTTCCTGCCTGGCAGCCAAAAGGGGCCCTGATCTGCCTGCCTCCTTCCCTGCAGATGCTGCCTCAGGCAGACCCAGTGATCGGACTTGGCTCTGAACCCCAGGCCCCTTTAAAGGAAGAATCAGTCATGTCAAAAACAAATGACAGATGACTTCAGATTTGAATTACCTAGTTTAGGCAATTTGCAAATAAGGATTTTTATTTTCAGGCATGAACATTTGATAAAGTTTCCAGATAAGCACAGGTCAACCAACAAGAGGCTTCCTCACTCTCCCCTCTGAGCCCCTTGCTCCTTGGAGCCTGCCTGGTGCTCCCGGCTCATGCCTGGGCCCAAAGGACAGTGGCACAGGTTGGCTGCGTGGAATCCTTCTGCGAAGTGACCAAGTCATTTGAGTCTCAGTAGAACCCCGAGCCCCAGGACTGTAGTTAACACTTGGATTTGGTGGAGATTTAAATACCACTGCTGCTAGCTGTTTAATCTGAGATCAAAACCAGAAGATAAGCAGCAGAAAGAAAAAAGCAAACGCATGACCTACCTCTGTGAGCCTGACCAGGGAGACTAACTGGACCCAGGGCAGGATTATGTCTTAAATGATGTTTATAGAAACAAGAGCAGTTAAATCACATCAGGAAATATTTGAGTCAATACAGGTAATCATTTTCTACTTAATTAAAATTTCCCCGTCAATAGCATAACTTATTGTTGGAGTGCTTAAAATGCAAATTCCAAAACCTTTACCTTTGGATCAAGGGTCTGCAAACCAGAGCCTTGGGCCCAATCCAGCCTGCTGCCTGTTTTTGTAAATAATGTTTCATTGGAACACAGCCATGCCACCCATACTTTAGAATGGTCTGCGGTCACTCTGCAGCAAGAGTCAAGTAGTTGTGCCAAAGACTTCATGGCCCGTGAAGCCTAAAATATTGGCTCTCTGACCCTGGACAGGAAAAGTGTGCCATCTCTGCTTCTGATAATGCCGCGTAAGCAGATCTCTTACCCCCCTGCAGTGCAGGGAGGGCTAACTGAACTGTGCCTCTAGAACAGTGGAGGGTTCTCCCTGGCCTCACCAGCCCTAGGAACCATTTCTAAAAATCAGGCTGTTGGAATCAGAATCTCTCGGGGTAGTTCCACACTGGTATTTGGTTAAAGCACCATGATGGGCAAGCAGGGTGGAGAACAAGGATGCTCTAGGGGAAAAAAATACCGGAAAGAAAGGGCGGCTGTTGGCATTTCTCCATCCTGGCTGCCTTGGGCCTCTGTCGCTCGCCCCTGCAGCCCTGCACACCAGAGCCCACGGAGTTAGTTACTGAAGGTGCTGCAGTCTGAGCATCTAGAACTCTCATTGGGGCCGATGATGCACCTCAGTGGCTGTCAGCCCTCTCTGTGCCTCAGAATCACTGGGGAATTAAAGAAAAAACCCAATGTCCTCTTTCTCTGGCTCCCTTCTCCATTCAGGTCAAAGCCACTCGGTGATCATCTCAGGGGGGAGGGTGGTGGCCGTGGTGGGCCAAAGGAAAACGAGGGAGGCATTTGTGCAGACTCAGGGACAGCTTGACGCGGGAGTTACCGCCCACACAGGGTGAGGAGGGTCAGAAGGCGTGCAGGTGCACTGTAGATGGGAGATTGGTTATATACAGGGGATTAACTGAATGAATGAAAACATTAAGGATCACGGAAGCCAAGTTTCTCACAGTTGGAGGAGGAGGTTACAACTGTGAAAAGAGGGAGGACTGGAATCAACTCTGTGGTGCTGGACTGGAGTTTGAATATTAATATTCCTTAGCTTGCCCACTGACAGGGCCTGAGAGCAGGGACACCCTGATAGTAATGAGCGTACTTATCACTCCCACCTTGGCTTTTAAATACCCTTTTCAACTAAAAGGAACCAATATCCTTTAGAGGAATGTCTGCTTCCCGGACAGGGTAGGAATGTACAAGATGAGCCTGAAACACTTCGTTGTGAAAGAAAGTGTTCAAGGAAGGATGGAGGTATGTTCAAAGGAGACGGAAGCCAGCCTAAGAGCGCTCCCGTGGCCGAATCAGGGACAATTTGAGCATCAAAATTAATAACGATAGCAAAGGACTATGAAACAATGAATGAAATAGGAAACCACAAGTTTACATTCATAAGTTTTAAAATGAATAAATGGAAAGTGAACATCATAAAAATGGGACAAACTGAAATCACCTGATAGGACGCAATGAGACGAATATATCGCTTCTGTGACATACCTGCCAAAGGGGCGGGCATGACCTCGATTTAATCTTGAAAATATACCAGAAAAATCAAAATTGAGAGCTATTCTACAAAATCTTTGTGCCAAGTTCAGGAAAATCAAGGAAAGTTGAGGATTGTAAACTGAAGACCAAAGAGAACTGTCCACTAGAGCGACACTCGACCCTGAGCTGGATCCTTTCATTGTGAGTGACACTGTGAGGGAAATGAGTGAATCTTGAATGGGGTTTGCCCATTGGATGGCGGCGATTACAGTGTTACCATGTGGATATCCTGAGCTTGATAGTTGCATTGTGTAAGAGCACTGCTCCTCACACTCGAATGTGCATACAAATCACCCAGGGATCTTCTTAAGATGCAGATTCTGATTCGGTGGGCCCGGGTGGGGCCTGCGATTCCGCCTGTCTAACCACTATCTAACCAGTTCCCAGGGGAGGCCCGTGCTGTTGGCCAGAGGACCACACTCGAAGTCATGGGGCCTAGGGAACCTGTGGTGAACACTGTTTGCCTCTTATACACCCACTGTACCCCCTCTTTTGGCTGCAGATTCTAGTTTTCCTTTGGGAAAAATCCCCTCCCTGCTCCCTGTACTCCTGTTTTGGGTCACATGGTCCTCAATGCTGAGACAGGAAGCATGTGGCCTGGGCCTGCTCCAATCCATGCCCTGGCCGCTGTGAGAGGTCCAAGCTGGTCCCAAGGCCCAGCCAGTGAGATGCAACTGTAAGAGCCCTGGCTGCGCTGGCACAGCTGCTATAAAATTCTTCACCATTGGGAACCTTTCTAGGATTCCCAGCCTTTCAGAGGCTCAGGCCTTGCCTTCTGCCCTCTAACCTCTAAAGGCTTAAAGGGCTTTTCTGACTGTCACATGACTCCACCACGTAGTGGTTCTGTGACCCTCCTTAGCATACTAAATTTATCTGTGCCTCAGTTTCCTCATCTATTAAAATGGGATACCGCGACCCCACCACAAAGTTTATTCTGAGAAGTGAATGTCATTGACATAACGTGTTTTGTACAGTACCTGGCTCAGAAGAGATGCTCGATTAATTTTTAATTGTTCAGTTTGGCTTTTGGAGTCCATGACACCACACAAAGAGAAAGGTAGCAAGTCACTGGTAGATTTTAGGTCATCTTCTGTATTGAGAGGATCTTATCGCAAAGTTTGGGGGCTCTGGAAGATGAGGCCAGTATTCCACTAGCTATTATGGTTTTGCTTCCTCTGAGCCCTATCAGTTCTTGCATGGTTTGGAAGCAGCTCAAATGCCCATCTGAGGTGAATGGATAAAAAAGCAGTGGTACATCTACACAATTGAATTTTACTTGGCCAAAAAAAGAAGGAAATCTTACCTTTTGTGACAGCATGGATGGACCTGGAGAACATTATGCTAAGTGAAATAAGCCAGTCAGAGGAAGACAAATACCATATGATTTCACTTACATGTGGAATCTAATGAACAAAATTAACTAATGAACAAAATAGAAAGAGACTCATAAATACAGAGAAGAGACTGACAGCTGTCAGAAGGGAGAGTACTGGGGAGCTGGGTGATAAAGGTTAATGGATTAAGCCAAAAAAAACCCCCCAAAACAACCCTCAGACATAGACAACAGTATGGTGATTACCAAAGGGAAAGGTGGGTAGGGGAGGTAGAAGGGGGTAAATCAGGGATAAATGGTGGTAGAAGGAGACTTGACTTGGGGTGGTCAATACACAATAAGAAATATTCTTGCATGTCCCAGTTATTTGATTCCTACCTAATTTGCCTCCATCCTGTATTGAGTTGCCTATATAAATGCGTATCAAAAGGTAATAAATTAGCAACGTTGTAGGTGTCCCAAGTAAGGTTTTCACGTTCCCGGTAATCTTAGGCTCTGACCAATGATCAGAAATCCCTTTCTACTGTCTTTATTCTACTGCCATCCTGTGGCCAGCTTGTGCCACTGCAGCACTGTAGGCCGGATGTAGCTGAGCAGCTGAGTTCACACTGTCCTCCTTATGCCTGGGAAGGGGCTCCTTGGGGGAAAGGGAGTGCAATGGAAGGAACTGCTGGCGTCCAGTGGGCAGGAGGCTGGGCGTGCATCACCAGTCTTGACTTGACTTCTGTTTGATGAATTTTAAGGACACATAGTACAGGGCCACGAAGCCACCACTGATGCCGATGAGGATGAAGTAGATGGCGTAGAGCGGGTACGAGTCCAAGTGCATAGAGCTGAGGATCTGGGGACACAGACACCAGTGAGCTCCTTAAGAAGATGCTCAGATGGATGCCACGTACGGGGAGTCCAGGTCCTCAGCTACTTACTTTGTCTCCTTGGACAGGGATGGTGAGGTTGCCGACCGCGAGGTGGTAAATTTGCCCTTTAAACTGAATCTGCATCAGCCCTTCGAAACACCACCGGAGGAAGGACACGTTGGAAATCCAGGCAGGCACTGAGGGCAGCAAGAGTCACGTCATTTGCACGGGCTAGCCCCTTGCTTCCTACAAAGTGTGCCTGGGGAGAGGCCCTGTCCCTGGGGAAGCAAGTCCCCAGAAGCAGCAGGGAGGGGAGAGGACAAGAGGTGAAAGGGCAGAGGGACAGTCTGGGACGTGGACTGGGGCGGGAGGCTGAGGGGCCCATGGGGCAGAGGAGTGGTGGCGGGGGTCACCTGAGGCTGGTCCCTAACAACTGCAGAGAGTAATTAATGAGGTGTCCCTCCAGCATGTGCCCAGCCCCCAGAGCCGACACACTGTGGAGACTCAGCAGCCCCAAACTAGAGACTGGGGAGCCTCTGTCCTGACCTGTGGAGGCATGAAGCTGAGCGAAGGAGGAGGAAACCGAACCCTGCCTTGTGGGTCAAGAAAGGCCTGGCAGGAAGAGGAGTGTGCGGTGTGGGGGCTTCGGAAGAGCTGGGCGAAGGGCAGGGAGTGAGCCGCCCGCCTCCCCCCCACAGATTTGCCCTTAGAAAGCTCACTGTGCACAGGTGAGGGCTGAGAGGGGCGTGGAGGCGCCAGCGTACAGAGGCCAGGCTGTTGCCTTGGCCCAAGATCGGATGATAAGACCAGGGCTAGGGGATAAGGCAACGGGACATTTTAGAAAGACTTGGGAGGCAGAATGGACCTGACCCCCTGGTGATGCAGAGGGTGAGCGACAGTCAAAGGTGACTTCCAGGTGTCAGCTGGAGTTTATAGAAAAGTGTCATCCATATCCCCTTGTGGAGTTATTCCCTTGGCACGCAGGACAGCTGGCCAAGGCACCTGCTCCTTGAATTGGACCTAAATGATGAGTTCTCTTCTCCAGGCCAAAGCAGGCGTAAGCCACAGAAGGCCTTAAAGAGCTTGAGCAGGTGAGGGGAGCAAACCTCACCTGTCCACAGGTTGTCCAAGCTTATCATGAAGCCCCCGGTCAGGTAGAAGGAGTTGTAGAGAGCGTTGCCAAAGAAAGAGGACATGTGGAAGGTGGGGAGCAGGGCGGCGGTGCACAGGGCCATGACCCTGCAGCAGAAGACCACCAGCCACACCAGCAGGAAGTGCAGCAGGAAGGGCTCGGGGCTCGGACGCAGGTTGGCCAGCCAGTAGGTGGGCATTCCATAGATGAAGATGTAGGCGCAGTGCTCTGGAAGCTCCCCTAGGATCTGCAAAGGGCAGCCCTTGCAAGGACATGGAGCCAACGTCTTCGTTTGGCGCTATCTTTTATGAAGAGCTAAGGAGAGCAGCCCCCAGCGATGCTGACCTTCCCTCTCACAGACGGCCAGGCTGCAGCAGGTGCATGCGGCGCGGGGGACTCTCGAGCTCCCTGCTGCCTTCCCCCTGCAGAAACCATGTGCTTCCTCTGAGGCAGGTCAGAGCAGCTTCCCAAAGTGGGGATCTGTGCTCCTAAGACCTGGTTTCAAGTTCCCACCCGCTCTGCCCGGCCCTTGTAGCTTGTGGCCTGGACACCGCCACACAACCCCTCTGAGCCTCCGCTTCCTTGCAAGGAGAATAGTAACCTTGCCTGACCTGCTCCAGGGTTCGCGGTGGGACTGGAGAGGCGAAGTGTACTGGATGTTTCCCCCCTTTCCGTTTTTAGGGCTGCTGACCAGGAAAGCGTTTTTAAAAAATAGCCCTGACTGGTGTGGCTCAGTGGATTGAGCACCGGACTTCGAAGCAAAGCGTTGCCGGCTGGATTCCCAGTCAGGGCACCTGCCTGGGTTGTGGGCCAGCTCCCCAGTAGGGGGTGCGTGAGAGGCAACCACATGGATGTTTCTTTCCCTCTTTCCCCCTCCCTCCTCCTCTCTCTAAAAATAAATAAGTAAACTTTAAAATATATATACACATCAAGTCTCCGAAACTCCCCTAGGGTAGGTGGCATCTACAACTGCAGAGGATGATGGCTCCCTGGCTCAGCAGAAGGTGTCTCTGTAACTTCTGTACAATGTGGTGCAACTTTCTCTGCCCCTACACCCGACCTGGGGCGGTCACTCGCTCTCAGCCCTGACCAGTCACCTTGGCAAAGAAATAGGGCCCGGCAGTGTAGAGCCCGTCTTCCAGTTCATAGTAAAGCATCGCCCTCTCCGAGTGACCTAAAAGAGGGGAGTGAAAAAGTGAAATTCATTCATAGTGTTTCTGTTTCCTGGTCTCTCCCAATACAATTAAAAGTAGTCATTGTGCCTACATGTCTTATATTTTTAAAAAATTAGGCAGAGTAAAACCATCCTGATTTAGATGCTTGTTATCCTGTGACTTGTACATTGCTGTCAAGTACAAGCCCTGCAAGGAGAGGAAGGCCTACTGCTCCCTGGTAATTTGCTTTCATTTGCATATTAATATTAATGTGTGAACTTTGAAAACAATGATCTTTTATGTCACAGTCATGGTGACATTTTTCAGTAAACCTGTTTTCCCTGGGAGCTCGGAGCCACGCAGGAGGGCTTGGGACCAGCTCGGAGGGTGGCTGATGCCGCGTCCTCTGGCTGCTCCTAGTGAGGGTCGTGCAGAGCGAGGGACTCACATTTGGCAATGACGTCCAGGATCACGTTGAAAGGGATGAGAGCTCCGATCATGAACAGGAGGGCCGCCGTGTCCATGAAGGAGAGCCGGACGGCCCCGTGGCCGTAGTAGAGGAACCCGATGACCAGGGACATGAGGCAGGCCTCTGCCCCATGGATGAGGAGGGTGGGGAGGTCCCGGAAGTCGTTGGAAATCTGACGACTTAGAAAACAAAAGAGAGAGGTGCCGAGGGAACAAGGTACACCCGCCCTGTGACCCGGCCACGTCATTCAATCTCAGTAACGCTCCTGGTTCTCATCTGTGACCACTTCCCAGAGTTACTGTGGATGTCAAGTGAGCTCCCTGCTGAGAGAGCCTGTCTCATGATAAATACTCGGTAAATGATTGGGTTACTTTTATCATCACTGTATCTGCCTTGCAATTTTACTTAAAGAAGTCATCCCGAGGAAATAGCTAATCAGGTGTGTAAAGAGGTATGTACAAAGATGTTGGCTGGAGGCACTTGTACCAGCAACAGCCTCTAAATAATCTGGCTATCAGTATGGACTCAGCAGGTAAATGAGCTACGGCCAGACTGGAATGCCGAGGAAGACCTGACCAGATGGGAGGTAGAGGTGCTATTCTAAGTAAGCCTCCCCCTAAACAACCCCCCAAAATGATGACAGAGCAAAGAACAATATGCAAACTATAATCCCAGAACAAAGAACAACAGGCGGAGTATAACCCTATTTATGTGCATGGAAACGTCTTGGAGAGGCTCCCACCAAAACTGGGGCCTGGCTTCCTCTGACGGCCAGTAGGACAGGGAAGCTCCCCGCTGCTGGAGGTTCTCTGGTACACTCTGAATTGTTCAGAAGGGTCTCATGAGATTTCTATGATCATCTGGCCAGTAAGGATATTTTGATTTTGTTTAAAGAATAAAAGCAGCAGGAATGCTCTCTGTCACAAGGGAGGGCTGATACTGTCTTGGTGATGCTGGTTTTTTCCAAATGAGTTACCTCTTTAAATTCACTTCGAATTTCCCTCCCCCAAATTCCCTTTACATAGAAAGGGCTTAATTTGATACAAGACTTTTGGGGCAGGGCGGGGTGGCGTGGGGTTGGGGGTGTGAAGCGGCAGGCAATTACCGGATCAGCGTGGTGAACTGCTGCACGGGGCCGGGCAGCCCCGTGGGAGTCGGGGGCTGGTTGGTGTCCCTTGGGAGAACGAGGCTGTCAGGACAGAGAGTGTGTCATGGGGGGGTGGGCGTGTGGGGGTGTGGGGGTGGCCGTCTGTGGGAGGGCTCTCTGCACCCTGAGCGACCCGGCCAGCCTCACCTTTCTGAAAAAGTGCCCACTCCGGGCTCCCTGGCCTCCGCCCGCCAGACGAAGTCATTGAAGCCACGCACTTTCTCCCGAAACAAGGCTGCAAGCGACTGTGCCTTCTCCGTGGTGGCTACTTCCTGCTCTCTGCTCTGCCTGTCTATGCTGGTCAGATCCACTGTAGGCAGAGGATGTGGGGCCATGGGTGACCTCTCCCCGCATGTGCCCACGGGGGAGGTCAGAGCAGCGAGGGCAGCGAGGTCTGGCCCAGGGCAAGGGCTGGAGGATCAGGAAGGGGGCCACAGAGGAGGGCCCAGTCCCACTCCTATGCTCATGACAGGGACTTGGGGCCGAGGAGGGGGCACTGGACCCTCAGATCCGAAGGCCACAGCGCAGTTACGCCCTGGCTCCAGCTCCGGCTGCCCAGGCAGCTTGGGGGAGGGCTCAGCCTCCCGGGAGGACTGGCCGGGCGAGCTGCCCAGGGGACCTGGCCAGGCAGGGCTGGGCAGGCTGGCCCCCTGGAGTCCTAGCTCTTCCTGTAAATCAGTGATTTGGCTTTTCAAGCAGCCCGCCCAGATGGGAAGAACGTTTTAGCCGATGGGTGCCAGCGTCTCACCAACTACAAATAAAATTCTCACTGCCCCCCAGGACGGGAGCCAGCATGACAAGCTGGAGAACCAGGCCAACCCCTCCCACCTCCACGTTACCCTGTGGGGATGCCTGGGAGCCCCAGACCACAGGCCTGCTGCCACGGGGCCGCCACAATGCTAGGACGGTGCGCCCCGCCCGGTCACAGCCGAGGCCTTCCCAGGCCTCCCCATTTCTCCCTTGGTGGCGGGAGCGGGGGGTTAGCTCTCAACCTCTCTTCCTCTCCCCTCCTGTCATTTTCATGGATACTGTCTAGGAGGGTCTTATCAAGTGTCATGTGTCCCCACTTTGTGCAAGGCTGGAGCTCAGAAAGCCAGATTCTCTGGGCAACGCCAGCCCCTGCACCCCTGATGGTGACGGTGACCTGCCCCAGGGCTTACAAGCAAGAGCTCCCGCCAAAAATTAATAATTAAAAAAATAAAGAAAAAGAGTTTTTCAGGTCTGTTACAGGCATTTGACTTCTGGTAACCCCGCTCCGGGGTTACTGCAGTTTCCCCTGGCGGCCAGGTTGGCAGCTGCCCTCTGCCCCCTTATCTGGGCATGGCTGGCCTAAGGCCGACACGCCGGCAGGAAGCCAGGCTGGCACCTGCACACAGGGAGGGAGGGTGAGTTCCATGTGGCTTCACCCAGGATGAGGGCGCCGTCCTCCCAGGAGGGAGGGTGGGTGCGGGGAGGAGGGAGCAGGATACAGGGCCCCGAGTCAGGGCAGGGGCTGGGAATCCCAATTCTGCACCTCACAGCCTTGCAAGAGGTTTAATTTTGGGGATTCCCATCTTCTCACCCACATGGATGGAGAGGACCTTGGCCTGGCAGGGCTGTGAGGGTTAAAGGGACACCCTCTTGTGCTGTGGTGCCTTTAGGTCCAGTGTCTGCCCTCAAGGAGATGGTTCTTGTCACCATGTTTACGGTGCATCCCTTGCTACACCAGGCCGTGCTGGGAGGCAGGCTGAGCCACAGGAAAAGCCATGGCAGCTGCTTCCTCTGGCCCTCGGACAACTACACGGAGTGCCCAGCAGCCACCATGCTCCTCAGCACCAGGACCCGCGCACCTGCGTGCAGGGAAGGCACCTGGAAAGGTAGCTCTCTCCAAAGGAAGGAGGACAATGTCCACGTTTCTCCTGAAGGCCACATGCTGTGGGCTCAGGACCCCGATGGAAAGGCATCGCTGATGCTGATGGAGCAACTTTCCTATCTAGAGATTCCCTGGCTGAGACAACCGCAAAGGCGCTGAGCTGGCCTGCATCCTGGGACCCCGTCCAGCACCGGTGCCTCCCTCCACCACCCGCGCCTTCAGGTTCCGTGTCTCTGTGGGTGTAGCTGCAAGGTTTTCTGGAGGCTTCCCAATCTCAACTATCCCATTTCACATATAGAGTCTGAATAAACACCACGGTTATAGACATTGTCCAAACTCTCTTGGGTTGTTACATCCCTTCCAATTTGGAGCATCCAGGCTTCTTACCTATTGTGCACACAAGGGTGGCTGTGTCAGAAGCTGATTTTCTCAGGCCCTCATCTCTAGCATTTGATGCTTGGCAAACTGACCCAGTGTGCCCACCACCATCCTCAGTTCTGCTCTCCCCCCGGGCTCTGGGGAGCCCTGGGTATCAGGGCACAGGCCTGGCTGGCTCACCATAGAAGTCAGCAGGGTTGCTGTAGCGAGGACAGGGGTAGCCGACTGCCGTGAAATACTGGACCATGTGCTGTGCTGCCCCTAAGTAGATGGTGATGCCAGATGTCATCAGAAGGACCAAGTCGAACAGCCTGAAGATGTCTGACCGAGGCTGGTGGAGGGAGATGAGCACCAACCGGTTGCCCTTGGCCAGCCTGGACAGGGTTCTCACCAGGTTGTGGGCCGTGAAGCTGTCGAGCCCAGAGGTGGGCTCATCCAGAATGAGGATTCCTTCCCGAAGGAGAGAGGAGCCTGGTAAGTCGGCAGGACTCTGGCTGGCCCAGGCCAAGCCAGGTGGGCGACACAGGCCCCCCTCATGCCCGCCCAGCCCCCACAGTCCTCACCTGGGTTCCACAGAAGCTGCACCCCGATGCTGACTCTCCGCCGCTCGCCCCCTGACACGCCCCGGACGTAGGTGTTCCCCACGCGCGTGTTGGCACACTGCCGCAGCCGCAGCTCCGCGATCACGTCGTCCACCTGAGGACGAAAGGAGCCCAGGGCTTCTGAGGCCACTTCCGTGGGCCTCCCTCAGGGCCAGGCATCTTTCGCCCCAAAGTATAAGAATGCCTGCTCCTCAGAAAGGCTGTAAAGCTCCAGCCTTCATTTCCCTGGTGTACACTTTGTTCCCTGATCTGCCCACACGGCCTGAGCAGTTCCCATGGACCATGCTGCATGTTGGGAACATGGCCTCGTCTTGGGGACAAGACAGTTGGGCTCCCTGCTCAGATGAAGGACCACAAAACAAGTAAACAAACACTCATTACACATTACGTCCTTGCTGTGAAGGGAACCAACTGAGCTGAGGGCTACGGGGCTTTAAAGGACGGCCGCAGGGCAGGGCTGAGCATGTGATGGGCTTTTCCAGGTGGGTGGGGGGTGATGAGCTGGGTCCTGAGGCCAGGAGGGAAGGGCAGGGAGGGGAAGGATGTCATGGCTTCTCGGGGTCACCGGGGTCAGTTAGTTACCCTTTTGTCACGCTGGGCCTGGGAGAAAGTTCTGGGCAGGCGCAGCTGGGCCACGAAAGCCAGGGTCTCGCGGACAGTCAGGTTGGGGAGCAGCTGGTCATGCTGGCGCACGTGGGCCACGCACTTCCTCACCAGCTGAGGCGTGCTGGGCTGCCCGTTGATCCAGATCTGGCCTGACTTCACTTTGCCACCATGGCCTCGCCCGGTGATCACGTCCAGCAAAGATGCTCTCCCACGGCCTGCGAAGCCACCAGAGGCATCCCGAGGTCAGAGGTTCTGCGGGGCCAGCCTGGAAGCCGCTGCTGCCTGCACAGTCTCCGGCTGCCCTGGGCTGCTCCGTCCTCGCAGAAGTGACCCGTCCTAGGGAAGTGGCCCAGCACTCAGCCCTAGATGAGGCAGCGCCAGTGGCTGGAGCTCAGGCCTGTGCCCACAGCCACGGGAGCACCCTTGGGGTGCTGGAGGCTCACTGGTGCTGGCGGTTGAGGCCAGGTCCGCCAGTGGCTGAGTGACAGAAGGAGGGAGCTCTGGCTGCCACAAGCCTGCCGGTGCCAGGAGGGCTTATCCCCTCCCTCAGAAGCAAGGCTGGTGTTAATTGCACTGTGAAGCATCACTATTTTGGGCTGACAGATCTGCCAGCGAGTTTCACCATTCAAGCTGACTTTGTAGGAAGGACTAATTTGGAGCATGAATAGGGTGTCTTTTAAAAATGCAAAAGTGAGTCTATTTTCAGAAATAAGGGAGGAAAAAATAGAGAACAGATGTGGAAAAGATTTAAAAACTATAACACCATGTACACATATGTTCTGAGTTCCTCCTCATCTTTTATATGCTCTTATTTTATCAATAATACTTTTTACTCTCTCTAAAAAAAGGAGGGGATCCATGGCACGCAAATTAACACCACCCTCTTCTGAATGACATAGCAACTGCCATTGATCTGGGGAAGTCTGTGCCAGTTTGTGCCAGGTTCCGGAAAGCGTCCGAGGAGGCTCTGACAGCCATTTAAGGTGGGCAAGAGAATCGGGCTCAGGATCTGAGAACACCTTCCTGCGGACAAGCTGGAAAGAGCTCTGTCCAGTTCGTCCAGGTGGGGTTTTGGTTTCCTCGCTATGAATTCTTTTTAGAACGCAAATTTTCCAAGTTGTTTCCAAACAAGGAAAGTGCCAACGTACATCATGTAACAGCTCTGTGCCATGAGCCAAGTGCCTCCTGCAGGCAACCCCACGGGCCCTGTGCAAAAAACAAAAATCAAGAAGCTTCCCCAGGGATCCTTCTGCAGAGAGAGCACAGGTTTTCAGAGCTGACCTTCCGACAGCCTGCTGGGTGCACCTCCTTCAAGGCCCCTGAGAACGGAGGTGGAGCAAAACAGCCAGGAAAGAAACCAGGGAGGTGGGCTCTTGTCCTGCGCTCTGCTTGGCCTCGGACGGATGTCCACTTGTCTGTGGGAGCACAGGGGATGGGGCCAACATTCGCAGGGACTGTGGGATTCCCAGCCAGGGAGGGGCAAGGCCACGTTTCCTAAACATGCCTTTGTGAGAGGAGTGGGTGGCCCTCCAGCACCTGGTATGGCTGGGGAGACCCTCATGAAATGGCTGGAGTAAATCCATTCAGGGGAGAGTACCTTTGAGCTGCTGATTCAACAGAAGGAGCTAAAATGCCTGGGGCCGTTTTATTTTATTTTATTTTTAAAAAATTATAACCAGAATTGTGTGTAACGTGTTGTGGAGTAAGAGTCACAGGAAGTATCATGGATAAACCTTTCTAAGGAATCATCTTCATAATTGCAGCCATGGAAACCTGAAGCTAAACACACGGACTGGAGGGTCAAAGGACCTGGGGACTGCTCGGCGTCACCTTTCCAAGCTTTGCCTCAGCTACAAATCAGGGAGCTAACAGCCACAGGGCTGCGTGCAGCGAGGATGAACCATGATGCCTCTAGGCTGTGCGGCAGCGCCTGGTGAGGCCCCATGGGTCTCTGAGATTCTTAATTCATGAAGAGAACGCGGATAAAACAAGAAAAGCCACCAGGAGTTATGAAGAAAAATAAAACTGGCCTATGGAGTAGCTCCTTTTTTCTTGTTTAGATCAGAATGGCAGGGACGGGACCATGCAAGTGGGACTTGACGCATGGGGTTGTGCCAGTTACAAAGTGCATTTACACACATCTGATCTTTGGTTAGACAATAAACAGAACTTCCCTATCTGAAGACCGTAAAAATTTGGAGTAGATGTTCAAAAAGTTGACTAATCTGGAAATGATTAATTAGAAGAGATAAAGTGCCGTCAGTTATCCCCTGTGCGGGAGAAGTGCCTTACTCTGAGAATGTAATCAGGGGACCAAAGTCCCAGTTCTAGGGCTGCCTGAAATGTCTGTCCTTAGGCGGTGTGTTTGTGTGTGTGCCCATGTGTGTAGAGCGGGGGAGGACACTAGAAATATTGAGGGCTAGATAATTTAAACACCCTCCTTTTAAGATGCTCCCAAACAAGTAAGGAAAAAGAAAGGTGGAACACAATGACAAGAATTAACTCTCTCCTCCAAGCCCCCTTTCAGCTCTGGCGTTCTGCGGCTCTTAGGTTTGGCCCGTGGAAGTGCCCATTTGAGGCCCTCTAAGGATCTGGGCCTGCGCACATGGCTGAAGGTGGCGCTCGGCCTTGGGGGGCCTGTGTTTGCGCACTGTCTGACCATGACCGGGGAACGATGAATGCTCTTGTGGTGGAGGAGTCCCCTGTAAAGATCGTTCCATTCTGAGGCTGCCATCATCATTCTGATGATCTTGGAAAGGTTTTTGCCTTGTCTCAGCGCAGGTGTTACAGACAGAACCTCTGGCTGCAGCTGCAAGAGGCACGTCCTCATTCCACTCCAGTGACTCTCAGCAACCACCTGAGAGCTGGTCAATGGAGGAGCAGAGACTCGAACCCAGGTCTTTCTGACCCAGAACCCGGGCTCTCAGATGCTCCGCCAGAGTATTCTACTGGTCAGTAAAGTGCTCTGTGAGAAGCCTCCGTTTGCCCAAGGGGCCGTTCTGCATCCCGTTGCCCCACTGTCTGCCCTCAGCGGTACCTGAGCTCCCTATGATGGCCAGCATCTGCCCACTCCTCACTTTGAAGCTCAGATTCTGGATGCCCAGCTCACAAGAGTCCTTGTGAGATGCCCAAGGCATCTTGAACTGAGCCAGCTGCTCAAACCAAGGCACCTGGGAGGCCACGTCCACCTGTGGGGAGACATCAGAAGGCTCCTCAGAGAACTGAACGGCCCGGGAGTGTCAGCAGCTTCCGTGCAGCTCGCTCCACAGACACCCGCCTGCTGACAACAGCAGGCCCGAGGGGCTCCCCAGCCAGGCTCCCCCCACACGGAGGCTGGCATCCCCCAGGCCGAGAACCTGAAGTTGCCACTTCCAAGTCTGAAGATAACACATGGAAAATGCGTGTCATAGCAGATCAGAAAAAAATACAACATGGAGTAAAATGATGTCTTTACTCAATATTAATAGTAATTTACCGAATGTTTACTATGTGCAAGGCAGTGTAGTAATCCATTTATATTCATTATCTCAATCTACATTGTGAAGCTATAACATAGGGACGAGAATAATCTCTGGTCTACAGATAAAGCTCAGAGCAGCTAAGTAGCTTGTTCAAGGGCACGTGGCTAGTGAGTGGCAGAGCAGAGAAAGGTCAGGGCGTGGCTCGTCAGCTGGTTCTCACTCGCCTCCGCCTCCACGGGAAGCGGGCCTTGGGCCTCGGAGGCGCACCATCCCAGGCCCCACCCTATCCCACCTGGGCCAGCTGGCGTCTGCCCCTGGGGCGGCGTGGGGAATAGGGGTCTTTGAAATCCTGACCGTCTCTGAAAGACACTTGCACTCTGTTTTTATTAGCTTCCCTGACAGCATATTTTACCAAAAAAGGATACAAAAACAAAAAACATCTACAGAAAGTCCGCGGTTTAGTTAACAGCATCACACCACTGCAGGTATCTTTGTTTTGATAACTGTGCTGTGGGTGAGCAGAACGCTGGCGTTGGGGAAGTGGGACAAAGGGTAGTGGGAACTCTGGGGGAAATCTGTACTATTTTTGCAACTTTTTCAAAAGTCTAAAATTATTTCAAAATATAAAATTAAAAAAGAGTTAGAGATTCCTCCCCGCCCCATACGGTCACACAGTTTGCTTCAAATTTTAGCAAAGGCCTCATTCTCTATTTATGCCTCAAAACCTGCTATAAAAAGTGTAGCTGAAGGAAGTCCGGCCCTTGGACCCATCGTGGGGACAACCTTAAGGACTGAGCTCTGTCTTCGGGAGAAGACGGCCCGCCCTTCCTCTTAGGGGACTGTTTGGCCTTCCCTCTCCGCTCTTCCCACCTTGTTTTTAAGTGTGCCTCTACCTGGTAGTTGAGGCCTTGGACCTCCAAGGTGTTGGACTGGCCAGTGTAGGTGAAGTACAGGCTGTTGTCACTTTCAGAGGAGAACAAGCTGTCCTGGAGGCCCTGCAGGGAGACACGACAAGGTGAGGGGCTCCTTCAGGAGCTGCTGAGGACACAGGATAAAGCAGAGGGGGTACCCGACAGGCGAGAGCAGAAGCGGGCATGGTTGAGATCCTGAATTGGTAAGACGTGGGTTTTGGGGAGAGGAACCCAATAGGAGCCTCGATGGAGGCACATCTCCTCTTCCCTACCGAGGGAGCTTCAGGACTTGCCCCTGCAGTATGGCTCTGGCCCCAGGGAACCTCAGCTGCAGGCTGGCGGACCGTGAACCCAAGCAGCCCACAGTGGACGGGGCTCAGTCTCGGGACTGGAGGGAGCTCTGTGAGCCTCTGGTCTGGGAAGACCGGACCCAGGACTTGCACTTTAACTGTTCTTCTCTAAATCTGAACTAGTATCTCCTAATGCCAAAGATACTTCCCGTATCCAGCACGTGCGAGGGAAATATCTTGTTGCTGTTATTGTTGGAGTGGTGCTATATTTGAATGTACATCGAACAAATCAATGTTCTGATCAGCTGATACCTTTGAATGGTGTTAACCATCTGCAACTCTGAATTACTTCTATTTTATCAATTCAATCATTTAATCATTGACGCCTAGGGGAAAGAAAAAAAACAAACCCCTGCCTAGTAAAGTTTACGTTTTCTAATGCATTCAAATTTTCTTCCATTTCTGCAGCGCAGGGGAAAGTACGTGTTTGCGAATGAGTTCCTGTTGACTCTGGTCTGCTTCCCTCAGAGATGCGTTCCTCCAATCAGTCAAGCAGCCAGCAAACACTCACTGGGAGCCCACATCACACTTCAGGCATGGAGTTTGGGATGAAACCATGAAAAGGAGTCTTTGAGAAGCTTAGATTTTAGTGGATGAGATGGGTGATTCGGATGGAGCAGCACAGCCCAGGGCGTAGAGGCAGGTTGACCTCAAGCACCCTGTCGGGCTGTGTCTTCACTGTGTATACAACGTGCTGAATGTGAAAATGCTGTGACTTGCGATTCATGTGAAGACAATACCCAACAGTCTTTGCCAAAGCCTCCCTGCAGTGGCGGAGGTGAGAGGTCCTTGGAAAGGGAGCCGCAGAGCTGTGGAAGTGGAAGGACATAAATACAGGGGACAGTGAGTGGCAGGCCCACTGCGGGTAGTCTCCAGGTTTCTGGCAGAGTATGCGAGCAGCAGACCATAGCTACTTACCTTGTTTAAAGTTAGAACTATTGCCATAAAGATCTTAAATGATACAGTAGGACGTGGGAAAGAGCAGCTAATTTGGCAGAAGCAGCACTCTTTTTGGGGAACAGAGAGGGATACATAGGGAAGGGGGGTCGAGGGGGGTGGGGGTCGGGCTGCCCAGCTTTTGGTAACTAGTGGTGAGTACATAGGGGCTGGCTATTCTTTAAACTGAATTATCTGAAATATTTCAAAATATGTTTTCAGACTGAGAGAGCTGGCCAGCAAGTAGAACTCCAGAATTCTACTTCTACCTTGATCCCCAGCAGCTAACGCCTCCAAGGCAAGAGCCAGAGGGGCGTCAGGGTGGCGGGGGGAGGGGAGGGCGTCTGCCCCTCAGAGGCGGCCGTGAAGCTCCCAAGAGGGCCAAGAGCAGGTCGCAGAGCTGCTGGGTCCCAGCGGGCCTGCGGCCCTGACCCTCACTCACCACCTCCGCCGCCAGCGTTCGCACCGCCTAGTTTTACCTCTTCATTTTGTTAAAGTATCAGAAATCCTATCAGCTGCTAATATGTTTATTTGTTTGTTTGTTCCTTAAACAACAAATATCTGCAGGAAGGATCTCAGTCAATAGGTATAAGATAGGAGTTAGCTCAGAAATTGCTTCTGCGAACAAACACCTGGCCTGCCCCCAGTTAGATTTCCGGGCTGCTGAGAGAGGGAGGCTGGACATTGTGGAATCTGGAGCAATATATGGAGGGGATCTCAAGCCTGGGGGGGCTTCCCTTTCCCAGGCTGGTAGGTACTCTGAGGAGGTGGAGGGTGCTAGGGCCCAGAGGAGAGAGGCATCGGGATGGAAAGGCGGGTAAAAGGCAAAGGGCAGCAGAGCGGTCTGTGCACCCTGCTCTCAGCTTCCCCTGTCCCTTCACCAGGACAGGCCGGCCGGGGCCTGGGGGGGCGGGCCGGGATGGGGTGGCGCCCAGACCCCAGCCACCAGCAAGGGACTGTGCCTTTGGGAACAACGCAGGCAGCTCAACTTTCGGAAAAGAGAATTTATGGCCTCTGTTCCATTTTGAAATATTTTCGTTGGCTCCCTGGAAGGATTTGTTAGACTCTTCCTGAGGTTTTGACAAACCCTCTGTATTTTTCAAATACTTAAATATCTACTCGGCTGACATCTTAATCAGTATGACTGTCAGAACATCACTTGAATTTCTGACAGGTGACACCCAAAAAAGCAAAAGCAGATTTATTTGTAGGTAACCAGCTCGGCTCCTGCTGGGCTACACTGTAATTTCTCCTCCTATTAACTTTTGATCACATCCCTGAGTCAGAGGCACGGTGAGGAAGAGAGCCAGGGGTGCATGGGGCACAAGGCCCTTGTTCTGAGATGAGGAGCCCCTGCTTTGGGCCAGCAGCGCCCTGCTGAGGACTCACGCCTGGGGAGAGGCGTGGGGTTGGCCCTTGGCGGGCGCTGAGCTGGGCCTCTCCTAAAACGTTCAGATCAGACCTCGCACAGCTCTGCCCTGAGGCCTGGGCCCCTCTCGTCCTCCTCTGGTCATGACCCTGCCCTTGAACTGAGGAGTCTGTGGGCTAAGGGCACTAGCCTCTCCGGATTCCCAGGCCCCCCAAATTCCCTGTGCAAAGGATCCCAAGCCCACTCTCGGGGTCCACATGAGCCTTGTCCCAGGCCCACCCTCCTGCACTCGGACAGTTCAGCCACTGGGCACCCCAGGCCAGAGGAGAGGGTGCACGGAGCATGAATGGGCAGGATGGTGTGTGAGGTCACGTGCGGAGCTGGGGCTGGGCAGAGATGGAGGACAGGCTGTGGTGCAGGCGAAGAGCTGGTTTCCCCAAGCCAGCACATGCCAGCTGTCCCTCCAAGAAGTCCTAGAATTTTTATTTTATTTTGTTTTATTGATTTTGAGAGAGAGAGAGAGAGAGAGAGAGAGAGAGAGAGACATCAATTTGTTGTTCCACTTACTGATGCATTCATTGGTTGATTCGTGTATGTGCCCTGACCAGGGATCGAACCTGCAGCTGTGGTGTATCCGAACAGCATTCTAACCATCTGAGCTACCTGGCCAGGACTGAAGTCCCAGAATTTTTAAATTTACACTTGGCATTCCAGGTTGTGGGAAAGGTATATGAAGGTAAGAGGATAGAAACTTTTTAATTAACAGTTCTTAGCTTGATGAATAGCTTTAAAATATCTAGACATACGACATATAGCCCTCATCTTCTCATTCTTTTGGCACCTTGAGTAACAGAACTGGAGAAAAGAACATTGGGAATAACAGTGTTTCTGGATGTTGGCTTCAGGCAGTTCTTTGCCATCCAAGCTGTGGTGACTAAGCTGTCAGGACTTCCAGGCAGAAAGTTATCCACCCTGAGCTTCCATCTATGCAGGCTGTGAGCATTGCGGTCGTGGCTCCTGGGAGTCATTTTCCAGTGGGGACTGGCCCGCGGGTGCTCCCAGAGCAGAGCTGGTCATTCACCGTGGCTGCAGAGCTCCTAGGGATGGTGGTTTCCTTGGGCCTGGCCACAGTCAGCAACTCAGGCCAGCCCAGGGCGCCTGTGGCCTTCCTGTTGTGTGGTCCTTGTCCCTTCTCTCCCTCTTCCCCAGAGCAGGCAAAAGCAGAAGGGTAGGGTGGGGGGAGGCAAAGGTGGATGGTGGGGATCTGTTTCCCTTCAACTGTCCCATTTAGCCTCCTGCTTCAAATCCCACCCACACCCCAATTTTAGTCCAAGGCCATTTCTCAAGTAAACATTTCTCACGTAAAATGAGGCCAGAAACCTTGAGCCAACCTCTTGGCCCTCTGACTGTCACCTACTCCTTCCAGCTCTCTCTGGGATCGCACAGCTGTCTGCTCTAGCGATATCTTGAACATAAATTTCAATGTTCTCATAAATGTCACCTGCCATCCTATCTCACCAGTTTACTGTCACTGAGATTCTGAGCTCGACAGCCACACAGGCAAAGGAGACCCCTCAGAGCCTTTGGTGTGTGAGCACATTTCTATGACAGAGTCTCATTTGTAAAAAGCTAAGGCAGCCCAAGTTGCCGGCAAGAACATCGCTTCCCTGCAGGTGCACACCTCAGGGCAGGAAGTGACGTCAGAGGTCCCCTACCAACCCCCCGACCCTGACTTGGCCCTTTGACGCCCAGGAAATGAAGTCCTGCTGCCTTGGTCTCGCTCTGCTTGTGGCGCCTGGTGCTCGGTTAGGACAGAAGTTTCCTGAAGGGGGGAAAGCGAGGTCTGATCCACGCTCACCCACCAGGACCGAGGGGACTCCCCAGCACTCACCGACACACCCTGGGGAGCGGTCCTGATCCGAAGCCCTCTGTCCTCCAGGGCCGGCTCAGCCATGGGGCCCAGCATTGTCTGCGCCCCTTGCTGCCGATTCCTGTGGACCTTAGCTGTCCTCTGCCAGTGCCAGTGTTTTCCCTCCGTCCCGGAGCTGAGCAACCTCTGGCCCTTGTCTGATGAGCCACCGTCTCTCTCCCAGCATTCCTCCCTGGCAAACGTTCCCACAAACACAGAGTGTGTGCTCTGCCCACTGCCAAGATAATATGCACGTTCCGGCTAAAGGTACATCAGATAATGGCATCTGTGGCCAAGCCCCATCCTGCCGCTGGGGAGGCCTCAGGAGGGACTCCAGGGTCAGGTGAGGAGCCGGCAGGGCTGTCTGCTGCTGTCTCCTCAGCAGAGGTCACTCCGGGGAGGATCTGGCACCAGATAATCCTCCTGCCCTTGCTGCCTGTTGACCATGAGTGAACTCCCACCTTTCACCCCGGTGGGGTCCTCAGGAGTCCAAATAAATAAAGGCGTCCAGTGCTCATCAGAGGAGCTTCCTGCAGCGGCGTCCAAGCCTCGACACAGCCTGGGCATTCTCCACGTCTCCTACAGTGTCAGGTAAGGCAGGCAAGGCCCAGGCTCTCCTCACGCCTCTGCTGGCTTCTCACTAATGAGGGCTGGGGATGGAGGCTTTGGCTCCCTGAGGAGAGAACCCTGTGGAGAGAGAAGAGGGAAGGGCTGCCAGGGATAAATGAGGAACAAGGGTGAACGGCCCCTCCTCCTGCCCATGGCAGGACCTGGAAGCTGTGGCAAATATAGCAGCTGTGCTCTGCCTCATCCCCTGTGCCCCTTGCTCCTTCCCGTGGGTCCCCCTTGTGTACGCCCTGTTCGATGTGGATGGAGAGGCCTTGGGGAATGGGGGTGCTTTCAGCACAAGAGGTAATGAAGCCTGGTGAAAAAGTACAGGGTCAACGGAAGGAATATTGCCATCTCCCAGGCAGCCAGAGAGCTGGCACGCAGAGCAGCTGCCGTGCAGCCGCTGTACACAGGCGATCTTCAGTCACTGCTTGCCAGGGTCTACAGAGGGGGACACTGAGGCTAAACACTCTTAGAAACTTGTCCGGAGACAACTGGGGTGGGGCAGAGCTGGCCTCTGTGCTGGGGGACAAAGGTGTGGACCCTTCCAAGACCCCGCTCTGCTTCTCCCCTCGTGGGGTCTCCTTTACAGCAATCGTGCAGGGCCCTGGTGGGACATCACATCTTGCCGGCGGCGGCGGAACAGGCAGATCCTGAGAGATGTCTCCCTGTACGTGGAGAGTGGGCAGATCATGTGCATCCTGGGGAGCTCAGGTAAGCTTGAGGAGGAGTGCTCTACATTCTCAGGGAGGGCTCCAAAAAGGCTGTGCCGCTAGATTTGAACATCACATTGAGGAAACGGGTTTAAGTCGCTACAAGAGGTCTAGGCCCTGGTGGTGTGGCTTGGTGGATTGAGTGCGGGCCTGCGAACCAAAGGGTTGCTGGTTCAATTCCCAGTCAGGACACATGCCTGGCCTGCAGGCCAGGTTCTCAACAGGGGACACATGAGAAGCAAGCACGCATTGATGTTTCTCTCCCTCTTTCACTCTCCCCTCCCCTCTCGCTAAAAATAAATAAAATCTTTAAAAAAAAAAAAAAAAAGGCTGTAACAAATTTCAGTTGCAACAAGTTTGATATTAGAATGAAATCCAATGACATGTCTGTGAATGGAAGGAACCTGATGTGAAATCTTTAGAAATGTCCTTGAAAAAGAATAAAGTTCCGCCTGACATGTAAGTTAATTCATATTTCAAAGTACCAAAAACACGTAGCACAATACTTGGCCAGTAATGGTGCTCCATAAACGCAACTTCACTCATCTGTACCCTGCCTAGAGACAGGAAAAGGAATGTAAGAAGCACAAAGATGCCCATTGGTTCCCCATATTCATGGGTCTTTTTTAATCATGATATATTTCAAACATACAGACAAGGATAGACAATGAAATAATGCTCATGTATTAACATCTGGCTTTATAAATCTTTCCCCCCCCCTCAAAGAATTTACTTATTTATCCCACAACCCAAGCATGTGCCCTGATGGGGAATCAAACCAGTGACTGTTTGGTCCATAGTCTGCTCAGTCCACTGAGCCACAGCAGCCATGGCAAGCCTTTATAAATCTTAACATGATATCGTATTTGATTCAGATCCTTCTTTTAAGGAATTAAATATTACAGGTTCCACTCAGGCTATGTGCCCATTTCCCAGTGCGTCCTTCTCTTTCACGGTAATTACACTGGAGGCTGAATTCAGTGCCTGTGCCTGTGTCCCTGCGTCAGCCAGTCATTGTCCTGGGAGGGTGCGGAAGGCAATGCCCTGAGACAGTCACAGCTGGGAATCCTCAGCAGCTGGGGGACAGGTGCATTGGCCCTAAGAGGGGATCCGTGTAGTGTCCACTACACTATGTTATCCTGCACATGTTCACATTGAGAGATTCAGACACATTGGTTTCTCAAAGGAGCCTCTGGATTGAGCTCTTGTTTGCAAGTTGTTGACATGTCCTGACTCTCCACTTGCATTACTCTCTTTAATAGAGGTGGATAATGGGAGTCCATGGTTATGACAGGCACGGTCAGCTGCTTTCCGCCTGAGGAGTCAAATCCATAGCCACTCCCCTGCGATGGCGGTGGGGCAGCTGGATGGTGACGGAAGTGTTAAGGTTAAATGAAAAGGAATTCGCTAAGACTTCCAGTTTCCTGAGATTTCCTGTCTGTTCCTATTTCCAATTTTTAAACCATTTCTAACTATATTCATGTACCATAACAGCCAGGGCCATTCTAACTTTTATTTGAATAATTATAACACACTCCTTTGAAAAGAACAGAAGCTGAGTTACTCTTGTAATAACCTGTCACTTGTTGCCTTCGTTGTGGAGGATAAACAATGGCGGCTTGTGGCACACGGCAGGGGTTGAACCCACCTTCTCAGAAGCGTGTCCCCCAAGCCAGGGTCATGCTTCATGCGCCTCTCAGCAGGACAGTGGTGGGGGTTCTTGATCTGAGATCTAGGGGATCATGGGTTTGTTTCTGATGATACCTAATCATGGTTTTATGACAATATCCATCCTTTTACACCGAACATAAATTCACAGTAGACTGCAAGTTCTACAGGGTGGGAGCCCCACCCCCCTCTTCCTGCTGTATCCCCCACAACTAGAACAGGGCTGGCCACATAGTGAGGGCTTAATAAATATTTGTGGAATCAATATATAAGCAAATGAATCAATTTTATGAATTATTCTTAGTGTTTTATAAAATGACATGATTTCATCGGTGTCTTATCTAAAGAAGCATTGTTTATCATATCTATATTAGCGAGGCAAAAGATGACGTAGGTGTTCAAAATCTCACTAAAGAATGGTCCAGCACAAGTTTACCCAGGGTCATCCAACGCTGCAGGGAAAGCTAACTTTATCTGACTCGTTATTTGCTATCGATTAGGATGTAGGCTCTGCACTGCGTGTTCCTTTGCAGAAGACTAGTTACAAACAATTTCTGTCCTTTTAGGCAAGATGACCCCAAAGGTCATGGTTTTACTGCCCTGTTTAGTCTAGACCTTTTTTGTTTCTTTTTTCCCCCTTTTTAAATATAGTAAAATATACATAATGTAAAATTTACCGTTTTAGCCATTTTTAAGTGCACCGTTCAGTGGTATGAAATACATTCACGGTATTTGCAACCGCCACCACCGTGCGTCCCCATCACTCTTTTCTTCTTGTAGAACTGGAGCCCCGGACCGATTAAACAATAACTCCTTCTCCCCTCCCCCCGCAACCACCGTTACACTGTCTGCCTTCACAATTTTGACTACTCTAGCTACCTCATATAAGGGAAATGATACAATATTTGTCTTTTTGTGATTGGCTTATTTCACTTAGCATAATGTCCTCAAGATTCATCCATATTGTAGCTTACTGCAGAACTTCCTTCCTTTTGAAGGCTGAATTCTATTCCATGGTGTGATATATCTCACATTTTGCTTATCCATTCATCCATTAATGAATGCTTGGTTCTAACTGTTGTGAACAATACTACCATGAACAAGAGTGTACAAATATCTCTTTGAAACCCTGCTTTCAATTCTTTTGGATACATATACAGAAGTAGAATTGCTGGATCATATGGTAATTCTATTTTTAATTTTCTGAGGACCTGCCACATTGTGTTCCACAGTGGTTGTACCGTTTTATATTCCTCCGACAGTGCACAAGAGTTCCAATTTCTCCCCATTCTTGCCAACACTTGTTATTTCCTGTTTTGTTTTTTTTTTTAATAGTAACCATCCTAATGAGTGTGAGCTGGTATCTTATCGTAGTTCTGATTTGCAGTTCCCTAATGATTAGTGGTGTTTAACATTTTTTCATGTGCTTATTGGCATATATATATAATTTATTTATTAAAAAATTTATTCAAGTCTTTTGCCCAATCTTGAATCAGGTTGTTTATTTTTTGTTGTTCAGTTTTAGAAGTACTCTATGTATTGTGGGTAGTAATCCCTTATCGGGTATATTGTTTACAAATATTTTCTCCCATTCTGTAGGTTGCCTTTTTACACAAAGGATAGTGTCTTTTGATGCACAAAAATTGTTTAATTTTTATGAAGTCCAATTTGTCTTTGGTGTCATATCTAGGGCATTGACCATTTTTGCCTCTAACTTTGCAACTTATTCTAACCTTTTATTCTCCACTGACTATACATAGTATTTAACATGAGCTTTCTCATCCTACTGGTACCTTCATTCATGAGTTAATAAATACTTGACACATATTCAAAAAAGACTATTAATTCTCTGTTTTCATGTAAAAACAGTATCACCAAACTGACTTAACACAGTAAAAGTCATTCATTATCTCACAGGTTTTTCCGAGTCAGAATTTGGAAGCAACAGTCGTGTAGTCCTGCCTGGGACCCCTGATGAGGTGGTAGGAGTCAGCTGGGGCCGCATGCGCGGGGCCGGAGAGTCAGTGCTGGCTAGTGGGCTGGTGCGGGCGGTTGCTCAGTGAGAATGTGTGACATGAGAAAAGCAGGAGGCCCAGGACAGACCCCTCAGGGTCACCCACAGAAGGCTGAGAAGGAGCAGCCAGGCCAGCAGGATTAAACCAAGAGGATAAAGTGGCATCAAAACCAAGAGAGAAATTTACAGAAAAGGGCTGGTAACACTGTTGGATGTTGCTGAGGGTGTAACGACACGCAGGAAAAGGCCAATGCATTTGGCACCAAGAAAGTACCTTGCTGAGCGTAGGGAGCCCAGTTTGGATGTAGCAATGGGACTGGCATCCAGGCTGCAGGGTGCTGGGTGCTTCTGCCAGAGCTGGGACGGGATGCCAGAAATGGAAGGCCAGGGAGGCTTCTAGTTAGAGAACCACATGCAAGGCCTGATATGGTGACGGGGACATTTCAGGGCTCATTTGGAAAGACAACCCCAATGCAGTCACATTTCATTTCTTTACAGTCACCCTCCTCGCTTCGCCACGTTGACCTCTACCTGAACAAACACTGGGGCTAATCCTGAGCTTTGTCAGCCCTGGGGTGGCTAAGAAGATAGCAGTTAAGACAGAGTGTGTCTGGCTTCTTTATCTTTGTACCCCTTGCAGCAACGAGCAGTTTCTTTACAATACTGGAACAAAAGATTTTTCTCTTTAGTTTCACACAAGCCATCACATTCAGGCAGTTGGGTCAGCACAGCTCCTCGGTGGGAAAGGTCCTAGCAACACCCCCTGGGCGGCACTCACCCCCGTCAGTGTGGCTGAGACGAACATGGTTTGACCAAAGGGCTCGCTAAGCTAGAGCTTTTCAAACTCTAATATCATGGGGTTACCCAGGGATATTGTGAAAAAAGCGGACTCTGATTCAGCAGCTGTGGCCCCAGCCTGATATTCTGCGCTTCTAACAAGCTATCAGGTGATGCTGATGCTGCTGGTCCCCAGACCTCCCTTGATTAGCAGCGTTCTAGGCAGGGTCCCTACTTTCAGGAACCACCAGATGACCCCAGGGGATCACAGAAAGAAATTCGGATGTCCTAGGACTAGATATTTCCAAGAGCCGTGGTTTTCCTTTTATTTTGAGCCTATAATGTCTTTTTTTCAACGGGAAACAGCTTTAAAGCAAATAAACAGGCAGACAAAGCCCCTCTAGTACCAGCAAAACAAGAGAAAGGTCTTGTGCCTCCTCTTATCCAGGGCACAAGCAGGAAAGGGTCATTCATGCCATGAGAGTTCGAGACACGAGGCTAAAGAGAAAATAAGTCAGGCCTGGACCCCTGACTGGCCCACCGAAGGTCTTGGGAAGTTCCTGAGATGCCTCAGGGAGGAACCTTCTCCAGGGCCTTCTCTCCTCGCCCACCAGGCTCGGGGAAAACCACGCTGCTGGATGCCATGTCCGGGAGGCTGCGGCGCAAGGGGACCTTGCTCGGGGAGGTGTGCGTGAACGGCCAGGCGCTGCGCACGGACCAGTTCCAGGACTGCTTCTCCTACGTCCTGCAGGTGGGCGCGTCCCCGGCCCTAGCCCGCTGCAACCGGGAGCTGGGCTACGCTGACGCCTCCCTCTCCCGCAGAGCGACACTCTGCTGAGCAGCCTCACGGTGCGCGAGACGCTGGGCTACACGGCGCTGCTGGCCATCCGCGGTGGCTCCCGTGGCTTCATCCAGAAGAAGGTGCGTGCTGCCTGTCCTCACCGCGGCCTGGGCGTGGGGCCAGGGTTTCCGTGCCCCTGAGCAGGGGCACCCAAGGGCGCAACCCCAGTGACTTCACACCCACTCTTCCCTCCACTTACTCATTTCTCCACTTCAGAGTCTAGACCTGCGCAGTCCAGTGTGGCAGCCACTAGTCAGGCACCCGCGTTGAGTACTTGAAATGTGACTAGTCCTAACTGAGATGTGCTGTGAGTGTACAATACACGCAGGATTTTAAAAACAGTCTGAGAAACAGAATGTGAAACATCTCAATAATTTAAAAATTTTGATTATAGTTTGAAACAATTTTTACTGTACTGGGTTAAATTATATCATGAAAATTAATTTCACTTGCTGCTTTTTACTTTCTAAAATGTGGCTGGTAAGATAGTGAAATTCTGCATGTGGCTTGCATTGTATTTCTAGCCCATGGTGCTGTCCTGGGAGCTCTGTGTTTGAACAGATATGGTTCAATTCCCCACTGTGCTTTGCCCTGCCACCTTGTTGAGATTTTTCTCAGCTTGCTTTGAGGCATCTTGAATATGCCTCATCCAAACTGTATTAAGGTAATAAAGGAAGGGACTATTGAATTGTCACCTCTTTCCACATTTTAAAAAAAGATCTTATTTATTTTTAGAGAGAGGGAAAATGAGGGAGAAAAGGAGGGAGAGAACTATCAATGTGTGGTTGCCTCTTACACACCCCCTACTGGGGACCTGGCCTGCAACCCAGGCATGTGCCCCGACTGGGGTTCGAGCCCTGCGACCCTTTGGTTCGCAGGCCGGCGCTCAGTCCACCAAACCATACCAGCCAGGGCTCTCTCCACATTTTTATCTGTTTCTTTAAATGCACCCAGTTTGGAAAGAGCCACAGGAAATTTACCTGGACACTCTGCCTCATTTCTGAAGGCCTGAACAGGAGTGCGCAGAGAACGGAGGGCAGGCAGATGTGCCATGCAAAGCAGGTACAGTTCCCTGGGAAATGGGTCCCCAGAGCTGCCAGAGGAGGCCAGCGACATCTGCCCCAGAGGCTCCACCACCCTGAGGCCTCAGCCAGGCTTCTGGTGGGCACACAAGTACCTCCGCAGTCCAGCCTGCAGGGCTGGCCTTTCTTTAATGCCATTGAGGCTTCGAGGGAATCCTCCATCTCAGCGGAGCATTCAGCAAGTTACCCCATTTTTACCAGGCATTGCTGACCCTGTCCCCAGGGACTTGCTCATCCTGTCTCTGTGCGGGCCCTCAGGCAGGGCTTGGAGGGTGGAGCTAGGTCTGTCTGGGAGTCCTAGATGGTCCTGCAGTGTAGCTTTCACTCCAGAGGCACTTTGGCAAGGGCTCCGGCCCTCAAGAGGGACCTCCATCCTCTCAGAGCGATGCCTAAGCTCTTTCTTCCCTGAAGTTACCTGAGAGTGCTCACAAGGCATTGCAGGGTTCTTGCTCTTCTACCAGGTTAAGTTCTGGGCTCTCATAACTGGCTGGTGTCAGTCAGCCTTGTTCACACACAGCATCTCATTTCTTTCTGGCACCCACCCTGTGAGGGAGGCGTTATCTCCTGACCCCCAAGGAGATTCAGATCTGACAGCTGGGACTGGCTGAGCTTTTTTTTATTTTTAGGCTTCTAGATTTTAATTTTAATGACTTCTAAACAACATAATTTAATACCAGATGCTTCAATATCCATTATAATCACTGAACTGTGGTATCAGCATTATTTATATCTGATCAGCTATACAAAACTCAGCAAGTTTTCTTATGAAAAAAGGCAGTAGAAGTCACAAAGAATAAGGGAGAGATCACTAATTAAAGGGACTTGACCCCAGGTCCTGTAGCTCCATCATGTCGCCCTGAGCCCCTCTGTGGTCTGAGAAGACAGAGGTCAGAGTCTTCAGCCCACAGTGGCACAGGCATGTTCACACACATGGTTTGGTGGCCCTGCCGGCGAGTGACAGGCGAGCACCTCTGTAGGCTTTCTCCGCTTGCTTTAGTATTCATCCCTCTAAAATGTTTCGGAGAAGACGCCATTGCTGTTTGGGTGGGAGAAAGGCAGTCACGAATGGACTTCGGAATTAGCAATCCACTTATGTCACTTACTGCATCAGGAGGACCTCAGAAAGTCACTGAGCTCTTTCCCCAGAAAATGCACGTCTGCATAAATATTCAGAAAGTTCGTGGATACCTTCAAGTCAACCGATGGCGACTTTGCCTCCTGGTGAATGGTCCCTCTCCCTGGCAGGCCCTAAATGTCCTGCAAAGGTTCTCCCTGCTTGGGAGCACTTTCTGGGCAAATCTAGTCCACAGAGGGCAAAGCTCTGCCATGTACTTTAGTGAGAAGGAAGTGCTGGTGATAATTGACAGGGCGCAGCACGTCCCCTGGACCTGCTCCAGTCCCCCGAGGAACCTGAACATCAGCCACGGCTGACACGGGCAGGCCGTGTCTTCTGGGCTCTGGGGCTACCCCTCATGCTTCACGGACCACTTGAGAGAAGCACAGATAGTCCTGCTCTCGACCCCAGCTCTGCCATTTGCAAATGGCGTGGCCTTGGGCAAGTTATGGACTCTCTGAGGATCTGTTTTCTCCTCTGTGACACACAGAATAGTAATGTATCTCTCCTGGAGGTGTGAGAATTAAGTCGGTTTCTAAGGACACGTAACATAGAGAAGGTTGATGGCCCTGGTGGTCCCTTCTAACACTCTGAATTCCATTCCCAGTAGCATTTGTAAAACATGGGACAGGCTTCCTGCCCGGGTGGGAGACATCTGAAACAGATGAAGTAAATGTCTCCTCTGTCCACCCTTTCCTTTGGAGCCAGGAGGGGCCAGCTTTACTCCTCTCTCGCTTTTGCAGAGCAGGTGAAAGGAACGCTCAGGAATCTGTCCTGGCTGTTGGGTGCATAAACCTGGCCAGGGCAGGAGAGCTCAGTTCCAGAAACTTCTACTCTGATTGCAGGGGGAGGTCCTTCTTTTTTCTACAACAAATCATACTGGTTTTTTTATACATGTTTAGCCCCCTTGTTATTATTGCTTTGTATCTGTTTAGATGCATCTCTTCTTTTGGTCAAAGCTCTGTCCCTGCTGTTGATCCCGCCCCCTGCGTCCTCCACTGCTCCATAAACCATCCTCCTTTACTCTGATCTAGTTTATATTTTTTTATGCAGGGTTTTTTTTTTCAATTATAAAAGCAACACATTGTCAGTAGAGGTGTATGGGAACAAAACTCATTACCATATATAGATGGCTGTGCTCAGTCCCTTTCTCTCTGATTTGCCCTGGGCCTTCTGCAGGTTGGGGTAATCGGTGAGGGGTCCTTTGAAGGGTCTCTGCAGAGGGCATATGCTGAGGAGGGACAGAAGGAGACGAGGAAAAGACCAACCTTCTTGATTAGAGAGTCAGTAAGGAATTTTTTTTTTTTTTGGTTATTGTTGTGGGAGTTGAGAATGAAGAATAGGGAGAGGTTTAAGGGAACTGAAGGATATAAGAAGTAGAATGAAGAGAATGTGGGGAGGAGGAATTTTAAGAAGTATGTCTGCAGGTTATAAACCGTTCCCCTTTGAAGTCCTTAAGAAGATTCAAGTAAAGATTGGCATTACTTTTAATTACTTTTGATAGCTAGATTCTATTTCTTTGATGCAAAACCCCACTGAAATTAGACCACAGGGGACTCCAGGACTTATTTGGGTTACGTAAGGGAAATCAGGTTTATTTTAAACCAAATTGATTTTTTAAAACATATAAAACATTGATCCTAGTAAAGTTTCAAAAACCAAACATAAAAAAAATAACAGGCTATATTGCAACTATGCCTTTGGGGGATTTTTCTGTGTGGGTTGGACTGAAAATAGGAGTCCAGTGAAGCCTCCACTGTTTCCTGGAGAATTTCCTGGAAGCCAGTGTAAGCAGTTTTTGTTGCTCTAAGGACTTTTAAAAACAATTCATAGTACTTATTTTAGTCAGCTGCATGTATTATGCTGTGATTAGAACCAAATTGGATTTTATTGCAACAGGTGTGCTTTCCCTGGGGTGTGGTGCGTCTGAAAGCGGCCGGGGGACTGGCGGGAGGTGTGTCGCCTCCCCTGGCCACCCTCAGGCTGTGCACCCGAACGGCCGCCCCACGGTGAGCGACCGCCCTGGGCCGTGTGTCTCCTACAGGTGGAGGCAGTCATGGCGGAACTGAGTCTGAGCCACGTGGCAGACCGACTGATCGGCAACCACAACTTCGGGGGAATTTCCCACGGCGAGCGGCGCCGCGTCTCCATCGCCGCCCAGCTCCTCCAGGATCCCAGTAAGTGGGACCCGGCCCGGCGGCTGGCTGCCGCCTGGGTGTCCTCCGCGTGTCTGCAGATTCAACAGGCCCTTCCTCCACAGTCCCCGTTTGGAAAGAGATTTTCCCTGGGATTTTTCAAACTGCAGACCTAACTTTCTTGAAAGCACTATGTAGTTCCCGAATACTCTTTCCTCATTCAAGTACCAAACGACTTCTTGGACTCAGAAGTGCTCATTTGTGTTTTGTGGTTCAACTCGGGTGTTCCATGAACACGGGGCCCTGCCCTGTGCAGCCTCACGCGCTATAGAAGCAGTACCACTGTGTTTGCTGTGGCGAGCCATGAGCCTCGGTGTCACTACAAGCATTTATGAAATGGCCGGCATTAAAGTAGAACTTTGAAAAGTCCTACTGCAGAGTGATCGGGTTGAGGGGAGGGGCCGTCAAGGTGGGCAGGCTGTCATCTGGCTCCCCTGCCTGGTTTGGTCATTCTCCCCTCCACCTGGGGAAACCTCCCCACTGCATGTACCTGGACATAGAATTGCCTCTGGATACTTTTTTCACACCGCGGGACTGCCCACTCTCCGGGTGGTGCTTGGTCACTAGAAGGCAAGTAAGAGAGATGCTCTTAGGAGCGCTTGCCACTTTCAGGGTAGAAAGAAACTACAGTTAAATCCTTTAAAACACCTGATTTCACAGGTTCTAGTTCTTTTGCAATTCCAAAGATCTTAGTATTTGAAAGTGCTGGCCATGAAAACAGTCATGTTTTTTTAACTACCCTCCTCTCAGCCTTTTAAAGATCTTATTTCTAGAGAGAGTTAGGTAAGGGAGGGAGAAAAAAGGAAGGGAAACCTCGATGTGTAAGAGAAACTTGGATAGGTTGTCTCTTGTACACCTCCAACCAGGAACCTGGCCGGCAACCCAGGCGCGTGCCCTGACGGGGAATCAAACTGGGGACTCCTTGCCTACCAGGAGGGTGCCCAGCCCACTGAGCCACACTGGTCAGGGCACCTCTCAGCTGTTTAAAAACAACATGGTGCCAGCCCTCGTTCTCTCAGGGGATGGAGCCCAAAGAGTCCACGATACCATGTGCGAGGCCTGATCTGGCTGCTGCCCTGCTCCCTCAAGGATTACGCCTGAAATGCGCTCTAGAGCTGGGAGTTGGGTCAAGTTATTTCTCCTGAGCTCAGGCAGAAAGGCAGCTTACAGGCAGGTACCTCTCACTATGCACTGTCTGGGTGGGGTAAAACAGCTCAAATTAGAAACTGTTCAAAATTCTGAGTTTAGAGCCCAGCGTCGGGCTCGGCAGAGACTCTGAAGCCTGCCCCTTCTTTGCTGGCAGCGGTCATGCTGTTTGATGAGCCAACGACGGGCCTGGACTGCATGACTGCAAATCAGATCGTCGTCCTCCTGGCAGGGCTGGCTCGCAGGGACCGCATCGTGATCCTCACCATCCACCAGCCCCGCTCCGAGCTCTTCCAGGTGAGAGGGAACGCTCCTTGTTCCTGCTCAGATCATCGGGGGTGGTACACGTGTATGTTGAGCTGAGGCTCGTGGGGTGGAGATGAGTTGGCCCTCGCCAACCAGCGCACCTGGAGCCAGTAGCTCCCGATATGGGAAGGGCAAAGGATGGAAGCTCACTTTCTTCAGCACCTACCATTTACCAAATACCTTCTATGCACTGGCTCATTTAATCCACACAGTCCTGTGAGGTGCATATCAGTAGTTTCACTCTACAGAGAAGAGTGAGACTTAGAATTGATACAAAATTGAGCCACGATCACACAGCAAAGAAGCTGGAATTGGAAGTCCAGCTGGCTTCAAAGATTGTTTTTCTACAAACTCAGATAGTTTTCTTCCAAAATTCTCTTTATCCTCCCAGGAACCTCTTAGGAAGTTATTTGCCTTTTATAGACAACAATCTGAGATTTAAAAAAAATTTGTCCAAGGAGATTTACTCAGTGGCACGGCTGGGACTCACACCCAGGTCCACTGAGCAGGCTCAGTTCTTCTCTGCCGCAGACGTGACGCCGGCCGCAGGCTGGATGCTCGGGGCGGGCGGCGCTAAAAAGAATAGGGGGCATTTTGAGTGTCTCCAATGGATGTAGTGAGAATGCTGATGCAATCAAAGGACTGGCTGCTTGGGAACTTTGCTCTATAATATGGTAACTTTTTAAAAAAATGTTCTTTATTGATTTGAGAGAGGGAGAGAGAGAGAAACATTGATTTGTTCCACTGACTTATACATTCATTGCTTTCCCTGACTGGAGATCAAACCTGCAACCTTGTTATATCAGGATGATGCTCTAATCACTGAACTCCCCCCACCAGGGCCTGGGATGTGGTGACTCGATTACACACTAACACTGTCTGTCATCCCATCAGCTTTTTGACAAAATCGCCATCCTGAGTTTTGGAGAGCTGGCTTTCTGCGGGACACCAGTGGAAATGCTTGAGTTCTTCAGTGGCTGCGGCTACCCTTGTCCAGAACATTCAAATCCTTTTGATTTTTATAGTAAGTTTTTCATTCACATTGCCCACCATCTTAAAAAATTTTTTTTGAACTTTATTATCTCAGATTTCTGCCTGGATGGCACCAGGGTTTTATTTTTGCTTTTGTTTTGGTGTTTTAATCCTCAACAAATTAATTTGGCTGGGTCAATTAACTTGCCATAACCTGTCAGAAACACGTGGGAGATCTTAAATCGAGGCATGCCTACATTGTCAGAGAAAGATTAGCAGCGCTTCTGAATTCTCCCATACAGCCCCATTGGGATCCTCATGGCCCTAGTCTTAGCTTTAAAATATCCTGATTTTATAGGTGGCTGTTGAGAACAGGTATTATTCTGGCAGGATGAGGTATTACAGTTAGTACTCCTAAACCAATGATGAAACACAGACATATATTATTAGCTATTGTGTATTCATGTTCCTTTAAAAACACATGGATCATTTCTTTTGGGAAAAAATTTTAGTGGACCTGACATCAGTGGATACCCAAACCAAAGAACGAGAAATGGAAACCTACAGGCGAGTCCAGATGATTGAGTCTGCCTACAAAGAGTCAGCAATTTATCACGAGATCTTGGAGCACATTGAAAGAAAAAAACACCTAAAAACATTATCGATGGTTCCTTTCAAAGCCAAGAACTCCCCTGGAGCTCTTTCTAAACTATGTGTTCTCTTGAGGTAAGAGTCACCCCATTTTAGGCACTTAGACATCCCCCAATAAAAGAAAAGGAATTAAAACGGGGTTGTCTTTCAGGAGAGTGACGAGAAACTTAATGAGAAATAAGCTGGCAGTGATTATGCGTCTGGTTCAGAATTTGATCATGGGTTTGTTCGTCATTTTCTTCCTTCTGCGGGTCCAGAACGATGTGCTAAAAGGTGCTTTCCAGGACCGCATGGGTCTCCTGTACCAGTTTGTGGGTGCCATGCCCTACACAGGCATGCTCAACGCGGTGAATCTGTGTAAGTGCCATGCCGGGAGGTGTACCCTGGGGGGCAGGGGTGAGGGGGCTCCTCTCTCCCTGAACACCTCCCCTTTCCACCCCGTCACCTTGCAAGACTTCACCGTTACCAGCACATTTCTGAGCTCAACCCGGGCCCTCTCCAGATCCTCTCTGGGGAAAGGTAACTCCTGGGCTAGCAACCCCTAGTGTGAATTAGTTCACTAAGTGGATCTCTGAGAGTCTCTAAGGATCCAGGGAAACGTGAAATTATATGGTGCTGATGGACATGGTTTGGAGAGGTTTATCAAAAGGCTATCCCTGGTATCCTAGCTTGGCTGTTAGGACGCGCAGTCCAAGGGCATAGACACCTGGCCAACTTTGCCCTGTTACATTCTTTTTGGAGCCTATTTTAGTACAGCCAGAACCTAATTGTCAAACTCAGTGGGAGTCCAGAAGCAATACCTCGTGGCCTGATGTCCTGTGCTAAGACCCCGCACAAAAAGAGGACAGAAAGGCTCACATCACTCATTTGTGCCCCTTTTGCATGTGCATTCTTGAATTGGTGACACCATTCCCCCTACTTTGGGGAGAAGGAAATAAATTATGACAACTTTTGCAACCATGTTATAATTCAGGTAAGAGTGTAGATTTGAGGTGGGGGTGTTAACCCTAACTATGTGGATGGCAGATTCCCTCTTTCGATAGTGTGAGAGCCCCCGCTGGTCCTCACCATCCAGCTCCGGTAACCGACCTCAGGCTCAGCTGGGGCTCGCCCTCCCCGACTCAGCTCTGCGGTGACCGGCTGTTCTGCAACTTGCCTTCCGTGCCCAGTTCCTGTGCTGCGAGCCATCAGTGACCAGGAGAGCCAGGACGGCCTGTACCAGAAGTGGCAGATGCTGCTGGCCTACATGCTGCACGCCCTCCCCTTCAGCGTCATCGCCACCGTGGCTTTCAGCAGCGTGTGCTACTGGTAAGGGGTGTCCGCAGGTGTCAGTGCTCTGGGCCAGGCCCCCCGTGCAGCCCCGGACAGCCGGTGGGACCCGTAGAGAAAAAGCTCCAGGGTGGAGAACCACAAGGTTCTTCGTATTTTCCCCACCTCAGCACGCCTCATTAGTGGAACTATTAACGTGCTCCATCACAGGTGGAGTCCCGGTCCCCCCTGCAGCAAGTACGGTGGAAACCCTTCCCAAAATCTGTAAGTTGCCACATTCCAACGCACATCTGGCCCTAAAGTGTTTCAAATAATGGGTTATGGTCATAAACAAATCCCCAAATGACTTTAATTCAAGCAAGTTTAAGGTTAGTATGGTAAGGAAGCACAGTTACTCTGCTAAGGGAAGAAAAAAATCCTAATAGCTAACACATGTTGAGCACTTGCTTTATGTCAGGCACTAAGAGCTTTAAATGTACTAATTCATGTAATCCTTAAAACCATTCTATAAAGGTGATATTATAATTTCCTTGTTTGTTGGCCAGGAAACAGGCACAGGTGGAATAAGTGGCCTTCCCCCATCTCACGTCCATTACCCCAAATTAATTACAAATGAGACCGAGTCTACTGGGCTGGGTGGGCAGAGGGACCCTTGGAGGCTTTTTGGAGAACTTGAGAGACAGCAGCATTTCAACAGATGGAAGAGGGAACGCGGGCATTCAGAGGAAGCAGTATCAGGGACGTAGGTTCAGAAGCGAAAATGCAGGCGGCCATTCCAGAGACCAGTTTCAGGTGCACTGAGGGGAATGAAGGATTCGGGAGAGGAGTGGAAAGCTTACCTGCCAGCCTGGGAGCCTGGCAGGGGAGCTGCCGAGGGTCGGGCTGAGGGGCTGAAGTGGATTTGATAATGGGATGTGGGAGAGGGGTTTGGATGCATCTGTGATGGGGCTCTGGAGGGTGAGGCGGGCAGAGACGCTGGACAGCCAGCCCAGTGAGGAGCCCCGGCCACCATGTGTGGCGAGGGCAGAGGCCTTAAGAGAGTAGCAGTGGCAACAGAAAGGGGGTGGGGGGATCACTTTGAGAAGCTGGGAAAGTAAAACTGAATGTTTGTTGAGGGTAAAGAAAGTCATGGGTGATGCCCAAGGGAATGGGAAAGTGGCAGCATTTTTATCAAGTTTGCCAGGAAAGAGAATGGATTTGGTTCTGAACACATTACACCTGGGAGGCTACAGGACTGCCAACTGGTGATCTCAACCTGAGGTTTGGGCAATAGATGGAAGGAAAGACAGAGGAAGTAGGAGTCAAGAGCTAGGAATGGATCCTATAGGAGAGAATGTCTGAAAGGGAGGCAGCAAAGCGGTCTGAGTGCAACACCTTAAGGCAGGTGGCAAGAGGAAAGTGATCCAATGACAGAGGCAAAGGGGTGGTCAGACAGGCAGAAGGAGAAGCAGGATCAAATAGCATCAGAAGCCCAGGGAGGAGAGAGTTCCGGGAGGTATAGTACACCCTTTCAGTGGTGCACACTTTCAAGGCGATGAGGCATCATATTAGGAGGCCATGGGTGGACTTCCAAAAAAATAAAAGTTTCGGCAGCATGGTGGGGGTGCAAGGCAGGCTTCCAAGGGGCTGAAGAGTGGGATGGAGGAAGCAGATGCTGTCTGAGAAGCTTGGAGGAGCAGGGCAGGAGGAAGAGGGGCAGCTGCTTAAATGATGATCAGGCTCAAGAAACGCTTGCTTTAGGGTACGGTCAATAAGACCATCTGGGTAAAAACATTACAAGGAGACTAGAGGAAATTAAAGAAATATTGGATCATTCACAACTGAAGTTTACAGAGCAGACTGAGGTCAGGACAGGGAAATCAGTATAACATGGGATCAAGGTTGGCAAAGATGGAGTGGGAAGAGAAGGATCGAGAGAAACTCATGAACTGGGAGATGACTCCATCCGCTGAGCACGGGGGAGAGAGTTTGAAACTGGGGAGAGGGGGCAATTTAAAGCAAACGTTTATATTGGCCACCACGGGACGTGGCCAATAAGCAACGAGGAATAATTAGGGGTGAGTCTGGAGACAGCTGAGACAAAGTGACAGAGGGAATTCAATTAGTATAGGATGATGCCTCATTGAACACACCTTGAGATGCTTAAGTGAGACAGCAAGGGTCCCCAGGTGTGGAGACTGGCAAGGCAAAGAAAGCAGAAGGGGACAAGGATCTGAAGCAGTGAGGGCTTTGGAAAAGCAGAAACAGGAGGGAGGCCATGATGGGAGAGGGCATTTTTCTGAATCTGAAATCTTGGAAATGGAACTGTTTTTAGTAACATTTAAGTCCAAAACATGGTGAGTGACCACGTTTAGATGGATGGAGCCCCTGGAATCAATCAGTTTACCTAATTAGGAGGCATTGACGTTGATGTTTCATCAAGAAGGTCAAAGACCTTGAGGATATGAGAGTGGATAGGAGTGGAAAGAATGACCCTGGTCTGGGCGCTATGAATTCATCAAAGGTGAGAGAATGTCTTAAAAGCCACAGAGGATTGCGCTGGATAAGAGAATTAAAGTCTCAGCAAACATCATGATTTGTGAGAGAGGAAAGGTCTTGAAGAGTGGTGGGGTTGGGTGGATGTAAGACATGCCAACTCCTTTTCCTAACTCTACAAATGGAAGAGAGAGCAGCCATGTCTAATGGTTGTTGTGAATGTTATCACTGGAGAAATGCTATTTGGCGAAAGTAATGTAAGAGTTAAGGGGCATGGATATTGGGTAGTCTATTTACAAGAAAATGAAGGTCAAATTGATGGAAAGCGTTGAATAAAAGGCAAGAATGGAATGGAGCAGACCTGGGAGGGCTAATTCAATGAAAGATGGAAGCAGTGAAGTGTTTCCACACTATCGATAACCCCACGCGGCATGGATGAGGTTCAGGGAGGGGCAGGCTGAGCGGCAGGCTGGGTGAGCCGCCCCAGCCTTAAGGTGGTAGGTTAGCTTGGGTAGGAGCAGTGCTAGCTAGGCGAACCAACGTGGTTATTTATGGAGAAGCCTGGTGAGTTCAACAACCCTATTCACTGCAGTTAGTTGTACTGTTGTTTGAATAGTAATATTTTCCCACGGGAGCTAAAGGAGCTATAAAAGAGAAAAGATGGCTCACATTGAGTTGGAGCCAGTAGAAACAATTGGTGGTAATAAATGGTCTCAAATGCTGGCTCTGTGCCCGAAAAGCCTTTCAGAGGGAGTTTGACTTGCCCTGCAGACTCTTCCCTGCCATAACCCCACAGACTCATTCTTAGAAGGCAAGTGTGCTGTTTTTCTTAAATGGTAATCCTTGCAGAGAAACTAAAGACTTTACATGTTTTTAGGACTCTGGGCTTGTACCCCGAGGTTGCCAGATTTGGATACTTCTCTGCGGCTCTCCTGGCCCCCCACTTGATTGGCGAATTCCTAACTCTTGTGCTACTTGGAATGGTCCAAGATCCAAATGTGGTCAACAGTATAGTGGCTCTGCTCTGCATTGCTGGGGTGCTGGTGGGATCTGGATTCGTAAGGTAGGTCACGAGTCAAAGGATCAAGGCCAGTATGATTTGTTAAGATCACCTGATGATGACTGTCATTAAGGATCCAGAGGAGAGCTGTGTGATACTAGTTAAAGTATCACCTGATAGCCTGGGGCATTTAGTGTGATTGCCAATCACACTAAAGTTAGACTTTAGACTGTTCACCATTTGTTCAGTAAGATGTCTTCACATTGAGAATAGGGAAATGATGATTTAGGCATGATATCAATATGATTCACAAGTAATAAGCCATTAAAATAATAGGAGGAAAACCAACCCAGAAAAAAACCACAGCCTGTATTACAAGTTAAATAACACATGTTTAGTTCATTTCTGCCCCTGTACTGGTAAGTCTCTATTCCAGTTCCCCATCCTCACTTATGTTTAGGAGGTAAGATTAGTCAAATAAGAAAAGAGCCCACAGAATAAAAGGTTGTGCGGGAAGGCATCAGAACTAGAGATACACAACAAATGTTAAGAGTAATTAGCTCTGGGTGATATATTTTTATTTCTTTATTCACATTTTCCTATATTTTGTGAATTTTCTGTAATGGACAGGTATCATTTTGTAACCAAGAAAAAGACATCTAAATAAATAAAAAGCATATGCACAATAAAGGCAATATTTTTATATTAAAAAAGATATAAATAAAGTAATATAAAAGTGCTATAAATACATTTGAAAAAGTCATGGCAGGAAGGATGGAAAATTTTAGGAAGATAAAAGTGATGCCAGACAGGTGATGTGAGAGGGAGCTAGTGAGTTAACTATGGGACCCCCAGGAAATGAGCAAAAGACACTGTTTTTTTAAGTTAAAAGTCAAATAAACAAGAAAGTTATCGAGTATCTAAGTATTTATATGTTCAATTAGTTAACTCGCAGAGCAATCCGTGTTCAGGAAGAACACTAACCTCTGACTTGACTTAGCTCCAGTCACGTGGCCACCCAGAGAGGGGACTGAGCCTGGAGTCAGAGGCTTGCTCTGCCACTGGGCTGCCGAATGACCGTGGGCAGGCCACTTTCTATCTAAATGAGTTTCCTCATTTATAAAGTGGAGATAATGACCTTGGCTCCACTCGCCTCAAGGGATCCCGAGGAACAAATGACATAATCAGTGTGAAAACACTTCATAAGCGGCAGCGTGTTATATAAAGGCGAGCTATTATAAAGTGAAGTGAGCTGGGATTTGATCAGTCACGGAGGATTTTTTTTTTTTTTTAAATAATGACACCGTTACGTTGTATTTGTCCATAGTGCCTAAGTGAAAAATACACAAATCAAATCACCCCACGGGCATGGCATCAAGCCAGCAGGGTATAGATCCAGCCTTGGACAGCTGAGTTGGGTCTATTTCCTCTTTCGTACCAATTCCAATCATTACGGGCTCCAAACAATCTGGCAATATTTCATGTATTTGGTTTGTAGGAAAAGAGGATTAATTGTTCTTAGAAGAGAGGCAGTGGCCAACATTAACAAATGCTTTTAGGTTCTTTGCAAACTCTCAACATCCCAAGGCTTCACCTGGCTTCCACTCCCACCTTGAAACTCCACTTTCAAAAACCACATCGACCTCTTACTCATTCATTTATATTTTTCCCTCAAGTCATCATCTTTCCTGGCTGACTGCCTGCAACATCTGAGCTGTTGGCTGCCTCTTCCTTTAAGCCCAATTGGAGATATGTTCAGTGCTCTTTCTACTTCCAGACTCATGCACGTTCCTGGGGCGTGGGGTATACACCGTACAGGAATGTAGGAGAAGGAAAGTAAAAGTCCTCTGAAGCATCACAACCCAGAGTTAAATTCTGTTGTGTATCTTGCTAGACATTTACATAATTTTTTTTAATAAAAATGAGATCATACTATTGTGAGGGGGTGAAGTATGCATAAGGTTTTCCCCATTTAACAATATAATGTGGACAGTCCCCTAAAAATAAATTTAGACCTGCGGTTCCTGTCCCTCGAGGGTACTCCGAGGGCTTCCACGACAGCCTGGTTCTCCTCCTGTGTCTTTCACGGTCCCTCCATCCAGTTCCAGGCCTTTATCCTTGCACACTTGAACTTCCGCTGTAGCCTGCTCCCCCTCTTTTTTTTTTTTTTTTTTTTGCTGTGCCTCATCTGCCCTTATTCTGGTCCACCCTACTTGCTGATGCTGCATTTTCTGAAAACACAGATTTCAACATGACCTTTCTTATGGTCCTTCAGTGTCTGTCCACTGCAAGACCCTGAAGCAGCTGGCTCCTGGCTGTCATTCCAAACTCACCTCCCTCTGCTCCCACTTCGCAGGCTCTGCTCCCGCCTTTCTAGCCCATTCAGTCCCCTAGGCAGCCCTCGACATGCCTGTGCTCATAAGCATTGTGCCTTCCTGGGGCATCCTTCCTCTTCCCTACTTCCTCCCCAGATTCCTGTCTATCCTGTCCAATTAGCAGCCTCTCAATATGGCTGATCCAATTTAGTGCCTCAGAAAACTGCCAAGAACTGAAAGTCATGGAGTTTGGCAGGGGGAGTCACTTGGGAATAGCTGAAACCACAAATACTATATACGAGAATATTATTGACATATGTTACTGTTGGTTTTTTTTTAATACTTTCTAGGCACAAATCATTCACCACTGTGTACTTTTATAGTCTAAAGGTTATAAAGTCTATGTCTCCAGCTGCATTGTGAGTTCTTTAGGGGTAGGATACTTCCTTTGAATTCCTCAAGCACCTAGAACTAGTGCTTTGCAAATAGAAAGAATTTAATATATATTTGCTGATTGATAGAAGCTGTGTAATGGACCAAGAAGTCCACAAGGTCATCAAGAGGTTTCTCCTGAAATGAGCTGAAGAGGAGACATGGTTCCTTTTCACAATGAATATCTGCTTGCTCTTTCCTTCCCTTCCCTTTATATGGTAGTTCAGTTCTTACTTCACATACTGACACCATCAAGTATGTTTAATCAAAAATAGCCTCCTCTGATGTGATGTGTGTTAGGCATGTCTTTCCTTTTACAATTATATCAGTGGTGCTTACCAAAAAAATTAAACACCAAGCCATCATCAGGGGATTGATTGATAAATTAAGTTTCTACTCTAATCAACCACCAAGCTCCCCAGTCTCGGGGTGCGTAGGGGAGGTGGCCTATTGAGGGTTCGTTCTCTCTCTTTCTCTCTTCCTCTCTCTCTAAAATGAATAAAAAACCCATATCCTTGGGTAAGGAAAAACATGATAGAGTACTATGCTTACTGACTTTGAAGGATGCCTGAGACATATATTTGGTTGAAAAACAGCAGGTTAGGAAAGAGCATGAAAAGTTTAATCCCATTTTTGTAAAATCTTATAAATGCACACATCTACACGTGTCACGTGTATCTCCAAAATGTTAGCAATAGTTGTTCCTGGGCAGTGGTATTTCTCTACTTCTTAGTATTGTTTGGAGTTTTTTATCGTAAGCATAATTTTTTATAGTGAGATGGAAACTCTATTCATGCAGGCCAACACAAAATAAGGGCTTTCTTTTTTCATTTATTAGGACTATTACCACAGCCTACTGAATTTCATCTCTCTCTCTCTTTTTCTTTTTCTTAAGAAACATAGAAGAAATGCCCATTCCTTTTAAAATCTTCACTTATTTTACATTCCAAAAATACTGCTCTGAGATTCTTGTAGTCAATGAATTCTATGGACGGAATTTCACTTGTGGTAAGTATTCTATTTTGGAGTATTATTTTTACGTATTCCTCTGAGGAAGCAATTTCCTGAGGGAAATACAGGTATTTTTAAAATAAAAGCTATGTCTTGTGATAAATAGACTTAAAACCTTGTTTTGAAATAAAAGTCTAACATTTTCTCTGGTTTTTAAAATGCAATAAGCAGCGGTCAAGTCAGACACCTGTCCAAGATCAATGGCTTAAGGCCACTCTGACGTCGTTAGGACATGACAGGCGTGACTCTCACTGAGGGAAACTCTAGCGCAGGCCGGGTGGAATCAGTGTCTGCTGAGCAGGTTGAAGCGGGGTGCGGGGGGCTTCTTGTTCCCCAAATATGCACAGGATAGAGCCGAGGGAAGCCATTTGTGGCAAAAGGTCGTTCCCCAGAGAGGGCCATGGGCTTCACAAGGCCCTCCTGGCCATCGGCAGCCCCAGGCCATTCTGTGATGACAACTGAAGGACAGGTGGCATCTGGTAGCTGTTTTAAATACCTTCAGGCGATAACATCAGTAATCTTAGGGTATTCAGTCCTAAGTGACCGTAAGTGATTATGATTTTTATCAGTGCTGTGAGAATGAACATAAATGTATACCCAAAATGGAAACCCATTTCCATCTTCAAATGCAGCCAAGGCCATGAACACTCACCGTTGCTTCACCTAATAATGATTTCAGGGCTGTCCCAAGTGCCCTGAATCTCTCATGGAGAAGGGTACTTCGCAGGGTGCAAAGCATTTAGTGGGCATTTGGTAAATACTTGCTGATTTACCAAATGAAGTTCTTAGTCAGCAGGTATTTACCAAATGCCCGTATCTCACAATGTCGATCGTTTTCCCGGACAGGCAGCTCAAATGGTTCTGTGACGACGAATCCAATGTGTGCCTTCAGTCAAGGAACCCAATTCATCGAGAGAATCTGCCCGGGTGCAACGTCCAGATTCACAGCAGACTTCCTGATTCTGTACGCCTTTGTCCCGGCCCTAGTCATCCTGGGGATAGCTGTTTTTAAAGTAAGGGATCATCTCATTAGCAGATAGTGAAGCACATTGTTGTGCAAACAGAACTTAAGCTCCTTGATGTGCGGGGCTGCTGTGAACGTCTGAAATGAAAATGCCAAGGCTTTCTTTCTTGATGGTACATTTGAGGTCCTTTAAACCAGTAAGATTCCTTTTGTGCCCTTGGATCCACGCAGACCTTGGATGCTCTTCCAGCTTGCAGGGACATGTGGTATTTGGACATTGTGACTAAGCCAGTCCAAAAATGTAGGTAATAATAATCCATAAAATTATGGAGACTGTACTATTTGTTTTCTTTGCTTTAGACAGAAAAATAGGTTGGTTAAAAAATTATGCTTATGTTTGATAAAGGATTCAGTAAAAAGAAAATATTTGAATAGTTACTAACGGTAAGTAACAGAAAAGGGAGTTGTACGTACGTGTGATTAAAGCAAAGCATCCTGCAGAACTGGGTAAGGACGCTTTCGTTGTCATATAAAAACCCGTAATTCTGTGCACGTGTGCACATGAGGGTTCTGAGTTACCTGATCACATCAAGACAAGGGTGGGCAGATGTTGGATGATGAAGACCACTGATACAGGGCACTCAGTGATTTTAGGGAGTTAAGATGAAAAGCTTCATGAATGGGCTGAACTGAGAACCCACCACATCAGACCAACCTCTGGTATTGTTTTTAAAAATTAGTTGACTATTCTTCACTTTCCACTTCGTTTACTTATAAAATTAAATGTTATTAAATAAAGTGAATGTACTGAGAAATGACATCTTTAAGGCTGGAGAGCAGCTGTTATTTAAAGTCCATATAAAAAGATGCTTAACTGGCATATTTACACTCAGAAGAACAGGGTTACACACTAGGAGTTCATGTTCTTGAATTGTAAAGGGAAAGAATGCTGATAAGTACAAACACCTATATTACATATTTTTAGGGATCAAATGTATATAGATTGTATATAAATGGTTTATATATTAAATGACTGATTATCTTTCTGGTTGATCATAAAGTAATTCATGTATAAGTCTGAAATAAAACTGTCTCAATGTTACCATGGTAACTCTGACTAAGAATATCTTAGAGAGTACAAGAACTTTGTTCAGTTACTATGACCTAACTTTACAAGAATGATAAATCATAGCATTAGAAATGTCTCACATTATAGTACGAAGGATCATTTCGTTGTAAAATTCTATTTCTTAGAACAGTATTTAAGGATCTGGAGACATTGGTAAATTACCAGAATAGTATTGTCAGTTTTTATAAAAGGTCTTTGACACTGATGATTATGGTATAATAGTTACATAATGCCTTACAGATTATATATGTCACATCAGTTATAGACAACTCTGGAGATGATAATCTATTAAAGTAGTTCAAAGGGAGTCCCACAGGAACCTCTTTTGAAATCACTGATTTCAACTTACTAAAGATATGGGTGTACAATGTAAGTGGAAACATTTTCTACTATTCATATGCAGATGACTTTCATTCTAGCTCAGAAACATTTGGAAAATTGACATGGCACGTGACTTTAAGCTATTAAATGTTAGTGATACCATCTTAGAGAAACACAATGACTTTCAATATGTGACAGTTTGTGTCTTAAATCAAAAATGGACAAGTGATGTGTAAGAAAATCAAATTATATCACAAAAATTCTAATACTATTGTGGAATAGGCTCTTTCTTCCCACCCAGTCAATGATGTTGCTGAGATTGTAATGCTCACTGTTAATTTAAAGGGAGACCTTTCTCCACAGCACTCAGGCACGTGCCTGTCAGCTCCTTGAACTGAGGTTCCTCGGACACACACTGCCAATCCTGTTCTCAGTAGTGCTGGAACCACATATTCTGCAACCAGTTTAGGAAGTCTTATTCCATGGCAACAATCAGATAGCTGGCTATTCGCTCACATACCGCTCATCAGTCCTGGTGTTCTTGGGGTTAGTAGGTGTGCTTCTCTCAAGCGACGTGCATGGCACATTAGAGTCAACATATTTTACAGTGGAAATGGAAGAACACAGAGTAAATAACTTTCCTAGTTAGTAACAGCAATTTTACTTACTCCAAATTGAACTTGGATAGCAGGTACACAAACCTACAAGATTAAGAAGGCTTCTTAAAAGCTATTCCACCTTGGAAATAATCTTGGTTATTACCAACTCATGGAGTTGTGGTCTGCCTATTGACAGAATATCTCCTTAAAACTGCCTGTTCTTCAAAAAGTTATACTAAAAAAAAAAACTATCTCAGAATCACCAGAGGTGCTGATTTAAAAATACAGTTCCCTGAGCCCCATTCCAGACTCACTGAATCCAGATTTCTGTGTGTGGGGACTTGGGGATGTGCATTTCCTTCAGGTGCCTTTGTGCCTCACCATTAGGTAAAATTAAGATGCTTGTGAACGTGAACCTAATTCTAGTTTCCTACCAGCCATAAGGGAGAACTCTTCAGAGAAGGAATGTGTCTAATGTGAGCACTTCACCTTATTCCTGTTACTAAACGTTCCTGCTTTCATATTCCTGAAAACATAGAAGCAAAAAATTTACAACTGCTGAACAAAGTATACATTCTTAATCATGTTAGAGGTAGGTAGCAGAAGATTCTTTTTATTTTTTTAAAAATATTACACATAGTTACACATTTTTTCCTTTTAAAAATACTTGTAAATATCCTGTGGGTGGCACTAATATAAGAAATTCACTTTTCCTTTAACAAATTACATATTTTAACTTTATTTATTTATTACCACAAAGCTAGTTTATGAATTGGCTATTTTTAATATTGACTAATAAATAGCTAATTTATTAATTAACTAGTATTAATAAAATAATCTTACATGTATTTGGGAAAGAAGAAATGTTTACTATTGTTGAATTAGGTTTAAGAATCCAGCTCAATTTGTTTCCAAGACTTGGAAGAACTTCTTTTGTATTGTTCCAGTTCCTAAAACAAAAATATGTATTGTAGTACTTTAAAAAAATCAAATTTAAAAATAAAACTAGGCATCTCAAACTCCCTTAGCAGTTTTAGATATAACAATGTATCTTTGACAGCATTTTCAAAATTTCTTGACAATTATTTTGTAAATGATTATACTTAGTATTTATTTTCTAGAATGTAGAATCTTGGGAGCTTCTGAGGCACTTACAGCAGAATTTAATAAAGTTTCTGGCAAAACTATATATGATATAGTGCATACAAATTGTCTTCAACTAGTAAAGTATTTTAAGTACTGAAAAGTGACCTTATTTTTTAATTGTTTTGTTGTTAAACTTGTCAAAACCTACTTGAAGTTAGCAAAGTATCAATATTTAAAATGTAGAGATCCTTTGGCCTAGCAGTTCTATCTTAAGAGATTTATCATATAGAAAAATACAGAAGAGCACAAGGATATAAGTAGACGGATATGTACTGCACTGTGTATATTGATACACAATTGGAAGTTATTTAGATGGTCTCTCCGTAAAGGCCGATTAAATACATTAGTACACACTCACACGTGGCTGCATAGCCAGCCAGCAAAATAATGGTGGTCATATGTATGTGAAAAAAGCAAATAGCTGGAGAGAGCAGAATACTACCATTTTCCATTATATACCATGAGGTCTGTCTGGACCATTGTTAATATAACAAGAACAGTTGTTAATAAGAATGGTTGTGTAACACATCGTTGTAACCTGGCAGCCAAGGAGAGAGGTCTGTAATGCTCATGTGTGAACAATGATGTCTTCACTGTACTAGTCAGTGGAGGCCGTAGACGCTGTTGAGTGAGCATGTGTACTGTGGGGCCATTGCATTCAAAATGACTGAGTGGGTAGAGCAATAAATCTGCACCAAATTTTGCATTAAGCTTGAACATTCCTCCATGAAGCCTATTTGGATGATTCAGAAGGCCACAGCTGTGGGCAACTGGTGATTGGCAGCTTCATCAGACAATGTGCCTGCTTGTGCATCTCATCTCATTCAGGGTTTTTTGGTGAAATATCAAATCACCCACGTGACTCAGCCCCATTACAGCCCAGATTTGGCACTCTGCAGCTTCTGTCTTTTCCCAAAACTAAAATCGCCTTTGAAAGGGAAGAGATTTCAGACCATCAGTGATTCAGGAAAATACAGTGGGGCAGCTGATGGCAGCTGAGAAAACTGTGAGGTCCCAAGGTACCTATTTTGAAGGGGACTGAAGTATCATTGTCCTATATACAATGTGTCTTGTACCTTGTATCTTCTTCAATAAATGTCTCTATTTCTCATATTACATGGCTGGATACCTTCTGGGCAGTCCTCCTACACTTCTATATATTTTGAGTATTTTCACAATGAGCATATGTTACTTTTAAATATTTTTTATTTTTCAATTATAGTTTACATTCATTAGTATTGTTTTAGTTTCAGGTGTATTGCATGGTGGTTAGATAATCATATCCTTTACAAAGTGATTCTTTCAATATTTGCAGTACCCACTTGGCACTGTGCAGAGTTGTTACAATATTATTGCCTATATTCCCTAAGCTGTACTTTACATCCCCGAGACTATTTTGTAACTGTTACAATTCATAAAATCAAGATAAATTTTAGTGGGAGTGTAAATCTTACATGAGACCATGACATGCAAAAGGGATCATCTATGAGGCTGCCTCCTCCCCGCCTCTTACATGTTGTTCAAACTGTACCAAGTAAAATGTTATTTCAGATAAGCCAAAAGTGATTACCCTGCAAGATAAGGCAAACACTGCCCTTTGGCTAACATTAATTGAAGTTCACGGTTGCTAGGAAAAGAAAATTCTATTCTCACTTTCGGAAAAATTGCAGACTGCTTCATTCATACCTATACTCTAAGTCATTACAATTTAAATGTTAAAAGTTTCAAAACTGTGTATAGGCTTTGGAAGAATTTTTATACTAATAACTCTGATGAAGTCTTGACAGCATGGTTTATTTTTTCTAATGAAGTTAATTCAGTTCACGAGATACCTACTACTTAAGATTTCAAAGATTGTTAAGTCATAAAATAAGCCCCAATGATTATTTGTACCAGTGATAAAGATGAGGGCATTGCTTTGGGACCCTTTGCTAGTAGGATGTCCGTTCCTCCAACAGCAAACTTAGAAGAATGTGGCTGGTCACATAGGCCATGCCAGAGGGAGGATAAAGAATAATTAGCTAGTATGATACAGAACTCACGGTGTCCACTAGATCCTGCAGTACTGCT